AAGAGCATGAGGCATTTAGTGAAATGTAGTCTCTTACCTTTGCTGCCTTTCAAGATGCTGCTGGGATGGCCTCCAGTGCGTCCGCTTGTGGAGTTGCCGTTGACGCCGCCGCCGTTGCCAATATACTGATGTTGGCCAGAAACTTGACTGTTCAGCGAGGAGGTGCCGCCCAGGGAGGCGACATCTTCGCGCGAGGCGTGTAGCGATGCGGACGTCGACGTGGTCGTGGACTTCTTGATGGCGGGTGGCGGCAAGCCCAGAGGTGGACCAGCTGCTGCTGCTGCTGCTGCTGGCTTGTGCATTGGATAACTGTTGCTGTCGCCGTTGCCAGCAACAACAGCTAGATCTGCGCCGCTCGCGTCGTTGCAATTGAATTTCTTGGCATGATTGGCCTGGCTACTTCCGTTGGCAAGGTTAGAATTTAGACTCGAGTTTCCGTTAAATGTTGCAAAACTGGTTGAGGCGACGCTCGACACAGCAGCAGCTGTTGCTGTTGCCGCTGCTGAACTGGCAACAGGATGTGGATGCGAGTGCTGGTGGGAAGCATTTAGCACAGCCGACGCTGGCGCCAACTGTTGCTGCTGCTGTTGATAATAACGGCTGTTAAAAAGCTGCTGCTGCTGCTGCTGCTGTTGATGTTGGTGTTGATGCATTAGGTAATCAGTCGAGGCTGGCGCTGCCGCCGTCGAGGTTGCTGCCTTTGCCAGCAATGCGCCGCTTCCCGCTCCCGCTCCCGTGCCCGTTCCCGCTCCCGTCGCCGCCGTCGCCCCCGCCGCCGTTGTAGTCGCTGTGATTATTGGCATCTTCTGCACGATCTTGTCGAAAATAAACTTGTTTGTTCCTCAGCTCTAACTCAAGCCGCAATTATGGTATATCTATTTGCCATTGCGAGCATTAGAAGCGTTTCATCTCGGAATAACTTTTGTTGCCATTCGTTCGGTTATTTTTTATTTAATTTTTTTTTTTCATTTAATTCGTATAATTTACGATATGCTTTGTCTAGCTGCTGCTGCTGCTAATTATTATCTCGTGTTCGCTTTGTCATTGGGCATTCATCAAGCACATTTGACATCATCATCATCGCATTTTTTGCCTTGCATTGTGAAAGCGTTGCTTTAAACTGCGAAATGCCTAAAACCAAATAAAAATCATATAAATAATTGCAAATGTGACAAAGACGCCCCGTGCCCATGCCCAGAGAACTGCATTACAATATACAAAATTAAATTCAATTTTACCTAAAATTTCATTTACACACAACTTTTTTTTTTATATCTCCAAAAGAAACAAAAATTATTTTTTATATTTTATATTTTACTATATTTATTTATAATATATATTCTATTAATTATTAGTTAAATTTATTGAGCTTTTATTTCCCAACTCCTAGACGATACAGGAAAAGCTTGTCGGAGGGAAGAACTCAAATTGATATTGGAGCTAAAGCAAAGTAAGATTCCTCTAGCGGAACATGTCCGCAAAGAACCTACCCTATAGCCAGCTCCTAGGTGTCTAAATATATATATGTTAAGCTCTCTGTATAAGTTTTAATAATACATACATTCACACACAATACGACGCATAAGTTCACACACACACACACACACACTCCTCAAATTGTGGACGGAGTGAAGTACTATTATCTATTATTATCCATACGAGAGCCGATATTTCCAATATTTGCAACTCCATCTCATAAAAGCTCCGAATATGCATAAAGAATTATTTACTAAGAATCGATTTCCAGCGCATAAAGATAGTTACTTTTACTTTCCCTGTTATATTCATTTCCTTACTTCATTTCACAGCATTTGCCCAAGCAGACGCTATTTAACTTAATATATATATATATATTTCTGACAAGAAAGACGATTAAATCTATATTAAACAGATTTATCTGAGTGTCTATTTACTTAAGAACAAATCTTTAAGTTGAAGGGTCGAGAAGCTTTAGAAAGTTGAAATTATATTGATGACATTTGCCACAGATCCGTCGAGTTTTTCCATATAGTCTATATGTATATGAGTAGGCCGAATTGGAAAACCTTATTGTGCATGAAACAAAAGTTTTAAAACGAATTCTAGAACTCAAACAACAACAGCTTATACACATGTGTGCATCTTTATAGCAAATTGGCTTTAAGCTCTACAAAGAACTCATTTATTCCCCGTTTGCACTTGGAGAACTTAGTCATAAGGTTTTTACTTCATTATTTTAATGGGAGTAGCGTTTGTAACTGCTTTCTTTCCGCTTTGATAGCGATGAGTTAAAAAAAAATAGTAGAAGACGTCACCGACATCGTAGAGTACATATCATTATGATCAGTATCAAGTAAATATAATATAATAATATAATCGTGACCGTTTGCCTGATTCTATGCAAAGTAGTCTGTCAGTCTATCATAGCTAACGGTATAAAGTTTTGTAACAAATGTTTTGTCTTTCAAGATACGTCTAAGAAAAACCGCATCAACATTGGAATATTATATGATATTGCTTTAATGGAAGAAACGTTCGAGTTTTAGTATCTAAGGAATTATTCTTTTCTCCTTCAATTCAAAACCTTTTCAAAAGCGACTCTATTATGTGATTCCTAAGAAAACAATCGATCGAAAATGTGGCTTTTTCATAACCCTTAAAAGGATATTTTATCTTCATTCTATCCAAGCTGCCGTTCTTACTTCGTATTCGTTTTCAGATAAAATATAAATATCTCCACTAACAATTTAAAAATGAAAATCCAGACAAATTAGTTAAGTCGCCGCTTTTAGATATTTGCATAAACCCCAAAACATTATAAAGTCTAATTTCCCTCGAAAATCCAAAATGTTGACTCATGCAAAAAATTATGAATTCGAATGCGGGTTTGAGTTGCAAAAAAACATAAGAAAATTAACTGTGCGAAAAAAAGGGGCAGCAAGCACGGCAATAGCATTAAATTCCTCAAGCGAAAAATTTACTCCAATAATAAAAAGAAAAACAGAAACAACAACAACAACAAAAAAAACACTTCAAAAATTAAGAGGCACAGAACACAACACAGTCCTCTATATAGGGAGCTGCGGCAACAATCACCAGCAAAGAATGCCAGCAACGGCAACAACAGCAACAACAACAAAGGGAACAACAAAGGCGAGAAACGAGTTTTCAGACCATGCCACCAGATCGACCAGTCAGACATGATGCCACAAGCAACAACAACAACAACAACAAGAACAAGAGGCAAAGGTAACCCCCACATAAGCATGGACACATGTACACGTACACACACACACATGCATGCATGCATGCACTGTATATAGTTGAACGTGTATTGGTATTGTTGGCATCTGCACTTGCCGCGGGACGCAGACGCAGACGCAGGAGAGCCAACAACAATGCACTGAGAAAACGAGTCGCTGACGCCGCGAGACGCGACGCGACGCGGCCTGCGGTCAAGAGTCGGCACGCTCTCTATTTGGATCGCTGGCGTTGTATGTCGCACGTTGCACGCTGCACGCTGCAAGCTGCTGCTGCCACCTGTCGCTAAAAACAAAAAGGCGAAAAGTGCACGTAGCTGCAGTTGCAGTTACTTTTAAGCGGCAACAATAATTTCACTTCACGGGTGAAATTCACCGTTTTTTACTTTTCCCTTGCTAAAACCACATTAGGTTTTTATGTGGACAAACCTGGCTGGATGCGCAGAGGTGCCGCTAAATTTATAGAGCAATTAGCGGCGGCCGTCAACTCAGACTATGAATATGATAAAGTGAGCAGCTAGCTTAAAGCTGTGTGTGTATGTGTATTTAGTTTAAGTTTCCCGCAATTATCGTGTATGCGTGTGTATATTAATGGGAAAAACTCAAGTTCATGGCAATGAAAAAAAAATGAGTATGGCAGAGCAGTTTTCCCATTACATATTTCATCTACTTTCTATGATACGCGCTGATATGTGGAATGTGGTCAAATCGACACAAGGTAAACAATTTCCAATTTTGTTGTGCTGTGAGCAACAATAATAACAGAAACAGAAAAAAATAAACACTTTCATTTTTCGCACCTCTTTGTTTGCTTCGATTTGTGTGTGTTTATTGATCGGCAATCACAGCGATCACAACAAACGCAGGAACTGAAGCTGGCAGCCACTTTCCATTTCGGAGCATGAAAAACCGCAAACGCGTTTTCCAAATTGCGCGACACTCACACACTGTCACAGAAACACACACACACACACACGCGCGCACGACTTGTGTAAGGTGATATTATGGATATGTTTGAACTTGTTATTGCTTTGATACCTCTTGAAAACGCGTTGCACCTGCGCCGCAGTTTGTGGTTTTGGGAAAAACTAGTTGCGTGCAACTCGCTTCTGGGTAATTTTTTAATAAACGTTAAATGTATTCTAAATAGCTATGCGTTTTTAACATTACACTGCAAATTATTATTTCCCGCTGGAAAATTTCGAGAGTAAACACGCGCGGCTCAACCGAATCAAACGGAATCTCAACTACAACTAAGCGATATATTACTTGATATAATATCGATACTCGTTAAGCGTATACCTGTTGCTCATACAAAACACACACACACACACGCGCGCAAAATCACAAAACAAATAACTCAAAGCGCATTTATAGAGTAAACACCGGAATATAGAAATGCAACACGATTATCGCACCGTTACGTACAATACTTTTTAATAGTTTTATTATATCTAAGAAATTTTGTTTTTAAAAATTTAAAACAGCCACAGCGGCATTAGCAATTAAACAATCACTCACGCACGAAATAGATGCATTTGATATTTTCAACATATCGATATAATGGCAGTGAACGCATTTATCGATGTCTATTCACCACGAGTTGGCAATTCACAGCGATAGAAATGTTTTTATTTTTAAATGTACTGTCTGTTAAAATAAATTACGACAAACACAGCAACCATGTAGGACTTAAATATTTTATTACAACAAAATGTATAAGTGCAAGAAACTTTCTTTAAAATATTTCTAAAAATTCACTTATGTATATTTCCAAAATTATTTGTTAACCATTATAATATAAAAACAAAAAAAAATTAAATAAAGCCAAATTTACCGTAAATATGGAAATCGGAAGTAAGTTGCAGCTTAAGTTTGTTATGCCTGGACGAGTAATCAACGGTTGTTGCCAGTTCCACTTTCCAATGATCTTGAGGTTCGAATCTCCGAGGCATTCTGCATTTTCGACATTCACGGCGATAAGTACATTGACACGCGAAATGTAGGAAATGTGCTAAGGTTTTTGGGTTGTGTACCAACAGAAAAGGAAGTCAATCAAGTTATTGCAGCCACTGAGTCTGTGGAGAACCCTGGAGAAACGCATTTACAAAAGTTTATGGCACACGTTTCTCCTTTGCTTATGGATCGAAAGTAAGCGAAATAATAATCCATTTTAAAACGTATATTGTTTTTATGGCACATATTTGTAACACACAGAATGGAACCAGCCAGCCCGGTACAAATTTTGGCTGCATTCCAGGTTTTGGATCCAGAAAACAAACAATTTCTTACAAAAGAGTACTTTGGAAAGTTAATGAAGGAGGAAGGAGAACCATTTAACGATGATGAATTAAAGGCTATGTGGCCAGTGGCAATAGACCCGATTACGGGAAATGTACCCTATGTGTTCTACATAAATCAACTAAAGGTATGAAGCGCTTGCTTGTTCGGATTTCTTAATAATACATTATAAAAAATATAATTTAAACAGCACAAAACCACTATTTATGATGTCGCTGATGTACTCAAGGAGGAGCTCGCTGCTAACGATAAGGAAAAGAAAAAGGAACGCAATCCGGTGCCATAAGCGCATGGCCTCTAATCTATTAAGGTATAATGTAAATGATATAAAAATTGGATGTGCGTGAAATTATATTAGGAGTATATATATTTGTATAAAAATATTTTTTATTTTGTACATCTTTGTTACACTTAATTACTTATTAATTTATTTAATCTAATGTAATCTCTCAGCTTAACATTTTTATTTTTGATTAATGCGCATTTCACAAAATTCAAAAAAACGTTATCCACGCAAACCTACTCTTACAGTAACCAAGTGAACGGCTTTGATTTGCTACTGCCACAGTAAGTAATGCAGTAAGTCAACACTGGAGCTACTTACCGCTGACTGTTAACAACAGCTCAGTGAATATTTACGTTATGTACGCTGTTATGTTAAATAACATTTTGTTTGTCATACGCTTCTTCTTCCATCTTTTTTTCATGAACACGACCAGTCAGAAAAAGCCACGTCAGCTTTTGTGCACACCCATTCAGTAAAGTCCACGACATCTTGATTCAGACTGCTGCGCAGAATTACAAGGTGATTGAGGAAATTGCGTGAGATTAGGTTGACTAGACCTGGGTAAACATCACAGAGGCAATGAAGAAATCTAAAGCCACAAAGTACATGAAAAAAGCAGCAGAAGCAGCAAAAGTGGAAGCAGCGCTTCCAATGGTTTAAGTAAAAGTAAAAATCAGATAAAATTCAGTGCTCGTGCATATATCACGGAAATTAAGAGCTCCACAAAATGAAAATTTAATTTTTGCAAAAGTCTTGCACGCTCGATCGATAATTAATTGCAACAATAACAACACACACACACACGCATAAACCAAATGGCACCTGTAAACGGAGTGCTTTTATCCAAGTGTGTGCCTCTTGGCACCAACTTGAATCTGAGTGCGTTGCCCAAGCTGCGACCTGCGCCTCTGTCAGCAACCGCGGTGCTGCTCAAGGGTGGCTCTTCGCCGTCCAGCTCGGGCTACGCATCCTCATCCAACAGTGTGGCAGATGAGGAGTCAATGTCAATGGCTTCGAATGCGGCTGCGCCCACGAAGGCCAAAAAGCGGCGTCTGGATCATCTGTCCTGGGAGGAGAAAGTCCAGAGAAAGTAAGTTGTAGCGCCAAGCAGGCTAGCCCTTTACTTATTGCGTATTTGTGTTTGCTCCTTAGGAAACTTAAGAACCGTGTGGCCGCACAAACCAGCCGGGACCGCAAGAAGGCGCGTATGGAGGAAATGGAATATGAAATCAAGGAACTAACTGAGAAAACGGAAATACTGCAAAACAAATGCGAGAGCTTACAGAGCATTAACGAATCATTGCTAGCCAAGAATCAGAAACTCGACTCGGAAATGGAAGTATTGCGACAGGAACTTGCCGAAATGAAACAGCTTGCCAAAAATCACAGCAACAGCAACACAGCTAGCGTCAATGCAAACGCTGAGGGCTGTGTGTCCACACTCACTGGATCTGCAGCATCCAATGCTGACCCTCTGCAGCAGGGTACACAAGTGGACACACAGTCGTCAGCGCATGCCTTGACCTCGAAGAGGTTGCAACAGCAGCTGAAGCAGAGCAACACAACGGCCTCACTCTGGAGAATTGTGGCGCTCTGCCTTCTATACAAGACATGCTGCTCGTCGACGATGAGGAGTTCGATGCGCGACGCCTCGAAGAGCTGGCCGAAAGTCTCCTCGCAGATATCACAGCAGACCTGGAAACAGGCAGTGGCACATGCGACGAAGCTGCTCCCAAAGATGCAGGCCAGCCAGAGCGATTGCCTGGACCAATGGTGGGGACCACAGCAGAGTGCTTGGAATCCGACAGGCATAGAGCTGATGGCTTAAGCAATGACACCAAAACGCATCCCTTTATAAAATGCACACCCACACCTACTAAGAACAACACCGACATCAACAACAGCCCGTGTATGCAGGTGTCACAAATAAATGGAAACCCACAAACAAAAGCTACAGCCACAACGATACCAACAACGACGACAATTTCAGCAGCTGCGTTCCTGCAAAGCGCCACACCCGACACGGTGTACGGCACCTACGATGCCAAAACCAACTCCATCACAATTGTCATGGACGGCGATGCGGTGCCTGTCAACGAGGCAGTCGAGGAAATCTACGGCGAGGGCGTCAGTGCTGGCGAGGACTCTACAGATGTTATCATGAAGTGCCCGCCGCCAGCAACGTCACCCTCGCAGGTTTACCTCAACGTGATAAACGCCACCGACGACTCGGACGATGAAGCGACCAGCCATCTAAATTTCGAGCCCATTGAGAAGTTCCTTAGCCCGCGCATTAAGGCCATCTCGCCGCTGGGCAAATCGCCCGCCCGCTCAATGCATTCGATCACTTCGGATCATGGCTACGAGTCGGTTATGGGCTCACCAGCGTCCACCACTCTGTCCCACTTGGACAACGATATTGCCCTGCCCACAGAAGAGGACGATTTCCCCTGGGAGAGCAATTTCGATGAGCTGTTCCCCAGTTTAATATGAATAGTTCACATGAACTTCAGAGAGGCTTCGTAAATGTTAATTTTTCAAATTGAAAAACCTGTTGGATCATCCAATTCTCTCTCTTAACTTGTTAGTTTATGTTTAAATTCTGGCCGGCCGCCCTCATTTTAAGTGCTTTAGCTCGTAGTAAACGCAGTTGTAGTTGTTGAAAAATGGGAAAACCAAAGTTTTACCATCTCTGTACAGAATTTGTCATCGAAGGCTTTATATGATATTCAACTAAATAGTAGTTGCTAAGCTAATTTGTAAGTTTCTATTTATATTTAACACCTGTCATTCACATAGGCTAATATTTTTGTAATTGTAATATTTCAATGTGCTCAAAGAATTATCCAATAACATGCAGACCACGTACATATGTATATGAATAAATATATATAAAAACCACAACGGAAATAATAAATACTTTTATTTCCCACAAACCCTGCGACCAGGATGAAGGTATTGTGCCTCCTAAATATTGAGATCTGCACATTTTGTCGTTATCATTTTTCCTATTACAACAACAAATATGGCAAAGGGACCTTTGAGACAGTCAGTAATAATGATAATCACAAATCATTAAATAAAGATTGAATCATGCGGAAATTCTGGTTTGATATTTTGATTTTAAATGTAATAACATTATATTAAAAGATTGTTGGGTTCGGCCAAACACAAATATTATTATGTACATTTCCTCATTCTTATTATTGTGACCTAAATAGTGCTCCATGTGCGGCTATTTGACTCAGGCCTTATTTAATAAAGTGCGCTGTTATGAAATCATACAGTTGGTCGATAATCTGAATCGCGCCACTTTTTATTGACGTCACTTTACAGACGTAGACGTACGTGAGCACAGAGCTGTCACCCATTCGCAATAACAGTGTTGCATCTGGTACCAAACAATATTTTGTAAAATTAAAAAGTCGTTGTGCAGCCCTGTTATTAACAGCTGTTGTATAACAGATATTTGTATAACATAAGAAAAACATTAAACATCTGTTGGAAGGGGAAGGCAGGCCGATTAATGTTTTTTATTTATTGCACAAAACACAACTCTTTAAGACCTCCAAAAAGAAGAGGGCAAGCTTATTACAACAATTGCCCGTAACTGAAATAACCAGAAACGTAAAACTAATTCAAAAATATATAAACCAACGGATTTAATCAAAGTTGCAAATTCAAATTAATCGATAAAACATAAACAAATGTAAATTCAAGGCGCAGCAACTTGAAAGAAACGGAGTCCAGAAACACCTAAAAACCTATTTTTATTAAATTGTGGCACAAATATGGATAACAAACAGGAAAACATAAGCGTTGAGGCAACAGCAAACGAAAGCGCGGACGCCCCGGTTGAGCTGCCGTCTGCAGCCAAGTCCGTGAACGCAGAGGAGGAAAACGATGTGAGTCCGCCAACCGGCAGCAAAGTTACTAAAAAAAAGAATAAGCCAAAAGGACGGAGTCCAGTTGCCGGCACTGATCTGGATACAGAGCTGAAGAAGCTAACGCAGCGCAGAATCAATGTTGCGGGAGCGCCGAAAATGCCGCTGAATTCATATGTGAGGTTTATGAACGACCGCAGGGAGCAGCTGCGTCGGGAGCACCCGAACCGCACCGCACTGGAGCACACCAAAATGATTGGTGAGGAGTGGCACCAGCTGACCGAAGATCGCAAGGCGCCGTACATGGAAGCGGCAGCCAAGGACAAGGCACTGTAGGTGGAGCGGGCAACTGTGCTTTGATATTCTCATTCCACATCCAACACTCATACATTGTTTTGTCAAAATTTACAGATACCAGGAACAAATGCACAAGTTCCTGAAGGAGCACCCCGAAATTGTGGCAACCGAATTGGCCAAGGCGAAGAAGGCATTCGACACCAAAAATGCCAGCACATCAAAGGAGAAGGCAACTAACCACAGCAGCAGCAGCAGCCTGGATGCAGCCGGCCCAAAGAAATCGATGGTGAAGAACACTGTGAACAAACAGCAAAGCACACCAACACCACCAGATCCGGACGATATACCCCTGGCCCAAGTGAAGCGTACACCGACACCATCACCACCAGCACCGCCGGCATTTAGCTCCTGCGGTCCGCCGCGACCATGTGCGGCGGGCGAGATACCCATTTATACGAACGAGTTCATTGAGCACAATCGGAGCACCGAGAATGAGCTGCGTCTGTTGCGCAAGGCCAAAACGGATCTGGAGCAGCAAAATGCAGTGCTGGAACAGCATGTGGACAACACCAAAGCCGGACATGCCAAAGTCATGGGCGAGGTGTCCGAGCTGAAGGATGAAAACGCGCGCTTATCGGCATACATTAAGAATCTGCGACAAAAGATTGTGGCCACCTTGGGTGGCATCACGCTGCCACCAGTGCACCCCGGCGGACTCAACGTGGACAATGTGGACAAGTACATACATCACTTGGCTGGCATGATCAGCAGTAGCAGCAGCTCGCCCGCCGCCGGCGAGCAACAGAACAATGCCATGCTGCTGAAGGTGGGAGATCTGTTATCCAAAATGGACACGTCATCCTTACAAAAACCATAAACTCACAAAAAAAAAAAACATCGTCTGGGGAGGGCAGCAGAGAGCGATGTCTCTGTATTAGTTTAAGTACAACCGTATACATATATGTTCGTATAGTTTGTGTCTGCATTTGAGAGAGTAGTAAATCCTGCGAATCAAACCAAGTTACACAAATACTTCATTAATTTAAAAAAAAAAACATGAATCGATTAAAGAGCTAAGAGCACTGCAACCTGCGAACCTCTTCGTCGTCATAATCGCAGCTATCATTGCTGCGTGCCGAAAGGCTGCCCATGCTACGATACGAGCCGATGCGCGGAGTACGGCTCAGACTGCGCAGCCCCGGAACAGTATCACCATCGACGGTCTGTCGACGTCGCAGCCACACCTTGCGAACCACATAATAGCTGCCCGCCAGCATTGGTACTAGCATCAGCGGATGGCAGGCAATGCGCAGAACAAACAGAAAGCTGGCCATCATCAGATTGATCAGAGTCTCTGCGGGATGCGCGGTCGTCAAATTGGAAATGTGTCTATGCCACGACGGACTTACCTTCGATCAGCCAAATGGTGGCCACGGTGCTAAAAATAGCAGTCGAAACAGCCTGCAGCAAATAATAGATCATTTTGAATATTGAATATGGATTGCCTGGTCGACTGGACTTGTACTGGGTTTTGGTTTTTGGGATTGGTTTGAATCCAACACACAGTGTGTGGGCTACTAAGTTATTTCGACTGACTGATTGGGGGCCACTTTAAACTGTAGCTAACTTTTGCGGTGTGGTGACGCAATTAGTGGGAACGTATTTTACGGTAATTGCATCCTCCAGGCTAAAAAAAAGTGGTCTAAAATTAAATGTCTCCGTCCCATTTCAATGTTTTCGAAGCATCAAATAGGAAACTATTTGGGTTTCATTCTATCAACTAACTGGAATGACTATGAATAAAGAATATAACATTTCTTAAAACTCCAATCCTGCTAACATAAACCAGATATACCATAAGCTCATCTAGTCATAATCTTGTTAAACAGTATTCAATTAAACTGTAATTAATTTGGTAGCTATTTGATACATTACAAATAAACTCCAAGAGAGTTTTGCGTATCAACTTTCCTTGGTATTGATAAACAGCTGCATTTTCGTAGATCCTAACTTAGATATTAGGCATAAATTACAAACAGATTGTAAGAAATAAATGATTGCATTGAATAACATAATAATAAAAAAGAATACAAATAAGTACTAGCTTCACGCAGTGAAATGGTTTTTTATTAAACAAAATAGTCGTCGTTTTTCGTTTTCTTCGCAATTAAATTCAAGCATTTTCAACTTGCTTATTTTGTTTATAGGAAGAGCAACAAATAAATTAAAACTTAAAAAGAAACTTGATTGGTTTTTTGTTTTGCTTTTCAAAATAGTTAAGTCTACATAATAGGCGTACAATTAAAGTTTATAACAAAAATAATTTAATGAGATAATAAATCAAGGGCGCAGACTTCAAAAATTCCATTGAAAAGGGGGCAGAAAATTTGGCAAAAACAAAAATTACGCCAAATTCAAAGGCCATCACTAAAGTTGGTCAACTCTCACAGCGTTTTGTAAATAAGTAGTAAACAGATCTTTTTATCTTTCTCTTCATTTCGCTTCTTTTGCATTTCAAATTAGAAATACAAATTCCCATTTATGGTTTTGCGTTTTTTTCATTCATATTATTTTTAAAATGTTTCAAATCAATCAAAAACTCGCGTAACGAGTCTGCTAAATGTGTATTGTTTATGTGATTCCATGAGCGGATCTTGGGTGGATTAAAAGTTGACAAGCCGGATACCAAAAGTTATTAGCGTTAACGAAATTCTTGGTTGGCAATTGATGAAAACGATTTCCATTGATTTGAAATAAGTTTTGATAACGTTTTCAGCAGGTGGAATGACGTTTAAAGCCATATTGGTTGGAATCAATTACAAAACTCCAATTGATTGCGTATTCGGGAGAAAAAAGAAAATTGAGCGCATTATTAAGACATTTTTGGAAAACAATCAACTAACTGGTATCTCGGTATCGGTTGTGTGATTTGAAGTGTTTTGCGACAGATTTAAAGATGGTTATGGAAATTGAAAATCGTGTAGTACTGTGTGATACTGTTGTAGTTGTGGGGTGTAAAAGGAAACTGCTTATGCTTAGTACGGACATTCATTATATCATATGCAAACTGATCCATTCGCCTTCTGTTCGACTACTGTAGTCTAAATCAATCGGTTGCTGTTTGCTGTTGCTTTTCATATAAAGTATAATAATCTCAAACTTGTCGTCTCATTAGCTGATGCGAGGATGACGCAGATGACTGCTGTTGGTGCTGCTGGCGTCAGGCATCCGCACCATTGGGATTCATGCCAACGGGCGGCACCACCATCATGTTGCCTGTCTTGGGCGTATACACACTTGCGTTTGGATCCAGCGTCGAGAGACCGCCGCCTCCACCGCCGTTAACCACATTACCGGCAACCACATGTAGCGCGGCGGCCACACTTACGGGCACCATCTGCTGTTGAGAAACGGGCACAACCTGTTGCTGCTGCTGGTGTTGGTGCTGTTGGTGTTGGTGCTGCTGCTGCTGCTGCTGTTGGTGTTGGTGCTGCTGTTGCTGGTGTTGATGCTGTTGCTGTTGATGTTGCTGGTGCTGTTGATGTTGCTGGTGCTGCTGATGCTGTTGATACTCTTGCGCAACGCTTAGGCTGAGCATGGGTGAGGACGGGCCAGGTCCGCCCGATTGTAGCGGAGGTGTGTCGTTCATGCGCAGCATGCTTCCGCCGGGACCATGTGCTCCCGTATTCAGGCACAGTGTATCCGGCATAACAGCCAGCAGCTGTGCTATCTTGGCCTTGAGATCAATGACCTCATCCTCCTTGGACCGACGATGACCTGGAAGCAAGAAATAGTAGTTTATTACAGTCGTTCTGAGCTCTTTGCCAAGACAACATACTGTCAGATATTTCTAGCTGGCGCTTGGCCGCGCCCAGAGCCGAGAATAAGTCCAGCTTAACTCTCGTCTCTGCGGATAGATTCTTTTCCAGCGTGGAGTTCTTTTCTTGCATGGAAGCCAGTGCATTCATTAGCATTTCAGCATCCGCCTGCGTAGACTCGCGATTGTGTACCTTAACTTCCAACATACGATACTGTAAGGAAAATGGAGCTTAATTATGGCTGTCTATGAAATAATAAGTCTGCTGGTCCAACTAACCTCTTGCTCGAACTTCCGGCCATGATCGACGGCCATCTGCTTAGCTTCCTCGGTCTGTTTGAGATCGCTGCGCACACGCTTCAGCTCCTCGTCCATTTGCTGGCGCCTCTGCTTGCATTGGACGCTGCACTCAGGACGTGCAGCCTTCTCCTCGGCGGCCTTGCGTGCCTTTTTCTCGTTGGCCAGCTGAGCGTCAAGAGATTGCTTCTGGCGGCGCTCCTCGTTGAGACGACGCTCCACAGTCTGCAGACTGAGCATATCAGCATGGCGTGCATTGTTAAGCTCCTGTATGCGCTTCTCAAGCTCATCGCACTCCTTTTGCTTGGCCTGCAAACTGGACTTGCTGGTCAGATTCACGTCAAGCTTTTGGCGCAGTTCGTTCTCGATTTGCTTCATATGGCTTATTTCGGCGCGATATTTCTTAACGTCGGCCTCCAGCTTGAGACACGTTTCGCATATCTTGGATACCACCTTGCTGGCTATGTGCGAGATGGCGGCAGCGGTTGCATTGCTCGATGTTGAGCTGGCCGACGAGGATACGGAGCTGGCATCATTGTTGTTGTTGTTGTTATTATTATTGTTATTACTGGTATTAGTTACTGCAGCAGGTGCGGCAGTAGCTGCAGTCTCTTTTTGCTGTGACTGCTGCTGGCTATGATTGTCTTTGGCTGAGTTGTCCTTCTTACCGCGATTGCGGCGGCCTGCAAGACAAGAGGGAGAGTTGTATATTACATTGCCAATAACTTTGTATATTCAAGTTAAGCCACTTACCTTTCGGCGCCTTTTCTACTTGAGGCACTGGTTCCGCAGCGACCGCTGCCTCATCTGTCTCGAACTGCAGGACGTTGCCGTTGCCGACAGTATTGTGCGTCTTTTTGTCTGCAAGCAAGGGGGCGATATCAATTTGCTTCGAATAAAGCGTTTTCTTTTTGTTCAATGCACCCTGTTTGTCCTTTGCCCCCTGTTGTTGCTGCTGCTGTTGCTGTTGTTGTTGTTGTTGTTGTTGATAGTTGCTATTGCTACTATCCCAGTCTGACTTCTCCTTATTACTTGTTGTGGTTGCATTGCCATCCACTTGCTGAAAACTGTTGCTGTTGCTATTCTTTCCGCCATGCCGCGTGCTATTGTTGTGCTCATTGTCGGCTGCATCGCCTTTGTTGCGATGCTTTTCCTTGTCCATGCTACGCCGATGATTCCTTGAGCCACCGCCAACATGACCATTTGAGGTTGCTGCAAGCATAGATGCAAAAACATTGATTTATAAATAGAATATTATTGATTTTCAGCGATTTTTTTCCTGTGTCTATATTTACACGGAAATAGGCACCATGGCCATGTGGTTGCCAGGAGTTTTGTTATCGTTGATTACACGGCACAAATACATATACATGTATGAATACATACACGATTATAAGCACATGGATAAGCCGTACAAATTTTGGAATGTTTTACGAATATTGGAAGCGTTAAGCTATTGAAAGTAATGCTAATAAATGCTGCACCTGTTGTTGTCGCTGCTGCTACTGTTGCTGCATTTGATTGCCTGGCTGTTGCCGAGGCCGATGTGTTAGTGGACGATGACGAAGATGCGGGCGATGATGAGGAGGCTGCTGCAGCGGCTATTGCTGATGCCGTTGCTGCAGTCATTGTGCTGCTGTCGCTGGTGCTGTTATCCTTGGTGTGATGACTGCTGCTGCTGCTGTTGTTGTTATTATTGTTGTTGTTGTTGTTATGGTGATGATGGTGATGATGATTATTATTGCTGCCACTGCTGCCGGCGCCGCCGCCATGATGATGATCGTGATGATTTTGTGCTTGTGCTGCAGATGCCAAAATACCATTCGCCTGGGATGTGGACGATGTGGTTAGCGCTGCTGGCGCGCCTCCGGTGCCATTGGGCACAACGACTGCACTGTTGGCTGCAGCGCTCACCACTGTGGCACCTGCTATCTGTGCCTCTTCGGTAGCCTCCTCGGCTGGCAGCGCCTGCTGCAGTAGCTGCATATAGAACTCATTCTCTTTTGCCACTTCGCGCTGCTTGCGCTGGCGCATACGATAGCCTACGTAGCTTTTAAAGCCAAACCCGAGCGTTACCACCGGATAGCCAATGCTAAAGAAAAGACAGGCGTTCAGCTTGAGCACACGGGAAACTGAATCACTCGCTCGGTACTCACCAATGCGCTGCAAAAGGTCGGCATAGATCTAAATGCGGCATATGTCGACTGTCTTTCCATCGAATGCCCACCTCCAGATAGACAAACAACATCCAGAGTATTATAGTCGGCAAACAAATGCCCTTATCTGCAACAAGTTGATAACATGGCGAATATTTAAACAAAAACAATCACATTAATTATTATTATTATTTAACGCACCTGTATGCCAAACGTACTGCACCCAGACGTATGTGCTGGCTGCAAAAAGCAGCCAATGTACGGGTATGAAGAATAAACACACCAGATCCGATGTTATTGCAATGCACACAAAAAGCACAGAAAATGCCTGCAGCAAGTCAATGTAAAACGAATTAATATTATAAAGGTTCGCATAGCCGCACAAGCAATTTATTTACCAGTCCCTTGTACTTGAAGGAATCATGCACGGAGCGGAGCAGCAGCCAGAAAGGCCACAGGAATTCAAATCGGAACATGAACATAAAATCGGCCACCATCACAATGGCCCAAAGTATGAGAAATTTCATGTATAAAACAGTTGTGCTGCAAAAAAAGTTCAGAAAAATATTAGATTAGACAATATTCTAATTTGAAAAACTCAAAGCTAGATATTTGAATCAAAGCTCACGAAAACAAAATAAACACATATTTTGATTATCACTTGATTAATCCATCAATAACTTGATCAAACCGAATTTTCACGCTCAATTAAGACTTTCAACACATTTGACATCAACATCAGCCAAATCACTGAATAAATTATCTAACTCAATTGGCTCGCGGCTACAAGCAGCATCGAATATATATATAAATATATATATATATATATTATATATATGCATTGCATGCATGCAGCATGAAACAACGAAACATGCAAAATCAGAATGTAAACAAACAAATAAATACGTAATAAAACCAGAAGCAAAGCGACAATTGGCTGAGCAGAGGAATACCCCGAAGAATCCATTAACCAAATAATTAAATAAAATTATAAGCTGCGAGTTTTAACGGAATTCGGACAGTCCAAACCCTTTAATTTTCTTATTTCTGCAATTTTTTAGTTCGTTTTTTAAATATATTAAATTCCAACTTGGGCCTCTCTTAATAAATAAAATTTTTTTATATCCCACTTTTTTGTAATCAATTTGCGTTTTTTTATTTAAAATTCGATTTGTAAAATTCATTAAGCTCTTGTATTTATAAGCAATCGTAATTTTACAGGGCATTTGCTAGTCGATTCGTTAACAACAATGTTCCTATCAGAGCCAATTTTCGATCTTTTAGAATGTTGATAAACCAAAATAAACTTGACTTTACGTAGCCTAATACAAGTTTATGGTGAACCAACCAAATCTAGAATAATATATTACGCGATGAGTGTGGTATGCGTAACAGCGCGATAAACTGGATAGGTATATATATGTGTATATATGTATGCGTGTTTAATGTGTACAAATGCGAAAGTGTGCGTACTAGATTTGGGCGCGTGTCGTATTTGTTCTGCGTGACACGCTCAAATCAACACGAAGTGCTTGTTAACAACTGCATTTACATTAACTGCACTTTAAAACAACAGTTTTTCCAGTGTTGATAAAATCTTCGCGTTTATCTCTTATACCAAATTTTCAAATATTGAAATATGCAACACGCACTCATCTCTAATACGCACGTACATTAGATCTTGTTAATATTTTTAAACACTTACCTGCCATACATGCCCTCTGTGATTTTGTTCCGCTTCATTGGGCGACGTAATTTGCCACAATCTGCATTGCGTCGCTTCATTTTTGCTGCACGCTTTATTCAACTTTCGATTTAAGAACTTTTGTTTATTATGTTTGTTTGCGTTCGGTGTGTAACTTTAGCCTGATTATTTTATTGATTAAATGTTCGGACGCTCTTCGCACTGCGCCCACTTTAAACTTAATTTATCAGATTGAGGATCTGCTGGCAATTATTTAATTATGCTGGGGGTCGCGATACTTTTTGTTTTAATTGTTGCTTCTGCTGCTGTTGGCGTTGACGTTGTCGACATCGATATGGCTGCTGCCGGCGCGGCATTTCCTCACATCTCACGCGTACGCAAAATTTACCTCCCGCTGAGCCGGCTTTTAGTTCTTAACTGCAAATATACACACACACACACACACATGCGTGAACATAAGCGGGGCGAAAAAAAAGAACGTGAATACATTGTAATTCTCTTGAAGTGTGAGCATGATTTAACATTTTTACATACACATGTATGTGAAATGTACATGTATTGTGCATACATATGTACATACATATATAATCTATAAGATTTAATTCATTTATAGTATCATTGCATTTTAGGCTACAAACTGTCAACGACGAAGGCATGCGACGCTTTTATTTATTTATTTATTTGAAGACTATTTTTAAGCAAACTTATTTCTTTCGTGTTGTTGTGCGTTGATCGCTGATTGTACTATAGTTATTGTTATTGTTGTTGTTGTTGTTGTTGTTGGTATTGATGCTGTTTGAGTGAGTGCAAGTGTGGGCGTTGCAGTTGGTGTTGAAATGCGGTCAAGCTATTTAGTATACGAAAATAATCACATTTAGCTATGCCCGAATTACAACATTTAACATTTAACGTCGCTGCAAAACAAGAAAAAAAACAACTAATGCGAACTGTTCTAATAGAGATCAGCTGCAGTAACCGCGTGAGAAAAAGAGAGATAGTAGAAGTTAACTGTTAAATAGCCCGCAATCGTATATCGATTTTTGTTGCACTGTGTGCATTCTGCACAGCTGCTCCTCACAGCTCCCCCACATTTAACAGAACAGTTGACATTCAACTTGAAAGCGCAACGGACGATACAACTGATCATATAAATAAATATAAAATGCAAAAAAAAAAGCAAACTAAACATGTGCTGCTGCTTATGCAAATGTATAAACAATACTTGCGCATTCGTTTTCTAGTATATTCGTGTAAAAGGCTGCCAAGCTAAACAATAACAGCACCAGATTCACACGTTAACTCGGGCACGCCAGCAAAAAGTTGTATGTGGGCCCTTTCTAATAGCCGCTAGGGTCATAAAAGGCGCGCATTAGCCAAGTTTTTTAATTTGGATTGGCGGACTGTCATATATTAATATTATTGTATTAGAGTACAATTTATGCGCTAGAGTCATCAAAATTCTGTTATAAGACAAAGGGAGGAGTATTTTTTAAGAATTGACTTTAAAAAAAAAAGATTCTTCTAGTATTTTCCATTCCCATATCTATGACAACACAGAACTGACTTTTTAGTTTGGTTTATCGCTTTAATTTTAATTGAAGTGTTTAATTATATTTACTTTCAATTCAAATATATAATCTTGCGAAATTCGAAAATAATTAAACTAGCTTCCTGTTCTCAGTTGATAAGATATCTATTGAAAGCAACTGTCATACTGATATACACACATGCACACCCACATACATATTCGCTCATTGCCGATGCTGCTGTTTTCCAACTCAGCGAATTTGTCGAATGTATTTAATACTGTCTGGTTTAGACATTTTATGGAGGGATGCATGAATTTGGATGCCACCTCTAGTTCAAGCGGGATATTACATATGTATGTAAGCGTGTACACACATACATATGTAGAAAGTGGAGACGGAAAGAAGCGGCAACTGCACGCGCCTCAACATGTGGATGCTGCCCGGTGACTTGAATGATTGTTTTACTCTCACACAGACACAGACGCAAACGCACACAATCACACGTTCAATCCTTTTTATATTGTCGACACACTGCGCCTGCGCTGAACACACACATACACACTCACTCATTTGAACGGAAGCGGAACTACATATGTATGCAGATTTAAAGGAAACAGCTTCACAGCCAGAGAAACCATCCTTGCGCATGTGTATGCTTGTGTGCGTGCATTTGTTGCTGTATGGGATTGTATACATACATATAAGGTAAAACGTTTATAAATAGCATCCAAAAGTGGAGCGCATTATGCGAGTGTCCGAAACTGACACAACGAGCAACGGTAACGGAAACTGAGCTTACTGATGACGTCTGGCTTCATACGAATATACATACGCACACGAGTATGTATGTGTGCATAGATGTAATACATCTGTACATATGCAAATAGAGATGGTAAATCTATTGACGGATAGGCAGCAAAGCAACTGCACTTTAAAAAATTTGATATGGATGCTATTAGCGAAGAATGCTTAAATATCACTTTGTAGAAAAAGTACGAAAGCGTGTTTTTTTTATATGTTTTTACATATATATGTACCAATTATTACGTATTTAGATATAAATTGTAGTTTTGCACAAATGTCATGGTAACCCCATCACTTGATCAACATTTTGAGAAGAAAATGTGTTTACTGTCGCTTATTGACGCGCATTTTAACCCAAGTACACACACGCGTACATAGAAAGAAACAATCTTAACATTCTGTTATTGCACTGTTAAGTCCTGTGTAGGTAATTAGGATGTCTACACTTTCTAGCTGCAACATACACAACTGCACACACACGCATACAAGAACTGTAGCGATAAAATTGTCACTGATCATGAATGTACAGCTGTTTTAGGCGACATAAGCAAAACCAAAACACAGGCTAAATAACTTTTATGCATACATACATAAGTATATATAAAGTGTCTTTGATATTGTTTTGCCTGAGTTGAGCGCAATGCGATTATTTCATATTTATTTTCGTTTAAATTTTTGTTGATTGTTTTTCAGTATGAATGTTGGCACTTGGGTGCAATAGTCTTTATTAATTTCACATTAATTAATTGCCGCCGGTGTCGATTTGATAATAGTCGAGCTAGCAGTGTAATCACCTTGATTGAATAATATATATATACACATATATATATATGGCATAAACAAAATATCAGCTTGTCGTTTGCATTAAATATACAAAATACCAAATGTAGCCAGGTAACAGCAACAATAACAACGACCGCGAAGGCAGCACTAAGCGAAAAGTTGTTCAAAATACACAGCGGACTGTGTGGACAGCGATTGTTGCGGTTCAAACTGAGTCTGCGGCTGCTTCAGTGGGATGGGGATGGGGATGGCTGTTGAACAGCATCCACATCTGCAGACAAAAAGCAACAAGAGAGCGCGCTTACAGGAAAAGAAATAAGGATGCTGCTCCTGGATGTCGCAGCCAGCTGCCGACGTCGTCAGCGGTTACGTTGATTTTTCGCATTACATTCATGCACACACATATACAACAGCCTGAATGCGTGTATGAGTATGTATGTGTGGTTTGTTGGCGGCGGTCCCTATGTATGCACATACATATATATCAATGTACATTTTTCACACTCTGAACACACGCGCGCGCTCCTTTATGTATGTATGCATGCCTATATTCAAATACACACATTCATGCATGTTTGTACATGCACAGAAATGTTTTTTTTTTTTTTTTTATTATAGCATACAATTTCACAAGATTTGTGTATTTTTTCTGCTCTGCTCTCTCTCACTATTGCAGCATCCACTGTATTATCGACAATTAAATAGAGTGGCTAACGCGTTCCGCAATGACTTTTAACACTCTTGTATATGGATGTTTTATAAAATTTTGCACATTTCTTACAAACAGCCACACATGTACACACATGCACATGTGTATCCACGTACGTATATGTATGCGTATACTCGTATGGGTAAATTCTTTGGCACAGAGAAACCAAATTTTTCTTTTGCACGTCGCTCAGCGTTGTTTGGAGTTTAATACATACAGTTAGAGGGTTATATCGTATATCAGTAGTCTTATTTGCAGTCCATTAATTTTTTAAAACATTCATAGATATTATTGATTAGCTTTTTTACGTTTTTTACCGAATCGAAAATTCACGCTCTAAAATGACGCGCACACACACATATATGTGCGAAGACTTTTTTATTTATGAAAAATACCAAACAGAAATGTTAATTAACATAACAGATACTTAACATTAACATTACAATTTGGCGAATCGTTTTTAACAGCAATCGATTTTTTTCGAGGAAAAATTGTCGTTTTTATGCACGAACCAGATCAATAGTTATTTTAAATATAAAAATGCAAATTGGTAAAAATTAAATAAAATATATTCTAAATTTAATGTTTTTGTAATACAAAACCATGTTACCCACCAAATTTGAATCAAACTATCGCTACTCCAACTATCGATAGATAGAGGATATTAAACCAAAAGCTTACAAATATGCTCAAAAAGCTGGTAAAATATCGCAACCGTTTTATAACATTGCAAGTGTTGTAAAACACAATGTTAGAAGGCAACTTTAGTCAATGGAAACGGTAATATGGTTGTTGGGCTAACCTCAAATTTAAGTGTAAAATATAAAAATATCATTTTTATCAGTTTTTAATCTCAAATTAGCTAAATAAAAGGGAGCTCGCTAAAACTTATTCTTATGCTAATTTTGTAATGATCGCAGATAGTCTTTTATTAATTGGAGATTCATAAAATAACAAAAATATGTCTAAGAATTGTAGCGCAAAAAAACTCCAATTTTTTTTTACTAAAATGAAAGAAAAATGTAACTTTGGGTTACCGAAGTTAAAATATACGCAGACAGCAGATTTGCCATATATTGCATTACTTAGCTGCACAACGGTGCTTTCATACAAAATCTCGGGTTTCGTATAATCGTATCTAAATAGTTTTAAATGTTTCGGGTTTAATTTTACGCATACAAACACACGTATTTAAGTCTGTCTGTCTGTTTTTGTTTTTTTTTTTATTAATAGTAATGATTATAATTTCATATTTAAATTGTACATTATTATACCTGTACTTATAATCTGCATATAAGAAACGATTTGTGTTAAATACCTGCTTAAAATTATATACATAACAAAATAATAAACATTTCAAGCGTGGCTGTTTTCTCTGTCTATCAATCTCGTCCATACATTTTATTCTCTAATTATTTGCTACAGTTTGTTCCATTGCGCCTTTAACTGTATCTGATAATGGGAGTTTTATTTTTAAATATATTTTTACTTTTGTTTTTTACATACATAACCGTATGGAAAATGAAAATTTCTAGCAGCCGACTTTAGGGATCAGAGACGCCCCCTAATTGTTGTTTAGTTTGTGGTTTGGCGGCAGCAAAGCCTTGAAGTGGAAACTTGAATAATAATAAAATAAAGCGCCTTAGCCTAGCAAGAATGGTGCAGACTCATCGCGTCTCAACAAATGCGTAATCTCAAGCTAAAATTTTAATAATATATAAATGTTTGCATGCATGTTTTGTGCGACACACATACATGTATAAATCATATTGTAAGGAAATTATAAATTACACATTTTTCGACACACTTTTTTACCGTCGAAAGTTCTTTTTGCTGCTTCTAATGAACGATTTTGTCAGCATTCTATGTGTCTGTCTCGACTTCTGGCTGGGCACTGGCAACTGGCTCAGCTTCCGTTATCTCTTTCGTTGATTCAATCTCAGCGGCGGGCGCTGCCTCTGGCTGTGGTGTTGCAGGCGATGGCGCAATTTCTTCAGTAACCCGCTGTTTGATCTTTGGATGCGGCTCCTCCGGCTGCTCATCTTGCTGAGGCGGCGGCGCTGTTGCTGCAGCTGCTGACAACGGTGGCGGCAACTCGTCATAGAGGGGCGTGCAGACGGGTGATGGCGCCTTTGGCTTAGACGACTCGCTGCTCTCCTGCACAACTGGTCTGGCAAACGCCTCCGTCTCGGTCATTGTTTCAGCTTTCTGGCTATCGTCAGCAGCAGCAGCAGCAGCAATATCAACAGCAACAGCAGCAGCGCTTTCCGCAGCTTGCTGCGCCTCCATTCTCGCGTCGTATTCCTGCAGCTCTCTATCCCAATCCTCCTCGGTATCGACTGCGGTTGATTTCGCTACGTTATTCACGGATGGCGCTGCCACCGACTTATTTTTAAAATCATCTGCCTCTAACGAAGATTGTTTGCCTTGCAATTGGTTCTCATCCGTGGAGCTTATTGAGTGACGATTACTGTCATCGCGCGAGCCACGTCTGTTATTGTTGTTGGGTCCACGTTCACGCTCTTCGCTACGCGGCCCACCTCGTCCGCCACGTGCATTGCCTCCGCGACGATCGTCGCTATCGCGGTCGCCACGGAATCGATTGCCAGGGCCACCTGGGCCACCGCCTCCACGACGTTTAAAGTTGCTGTTGTTGTTGTTGTTTATGCCGTTATCATCCTCTTCATCACTCCAGCGGCCACCGCGACCTCCACCGCCACCCATGCCACGACCTCCGCCACCGCCGTTGCCGCCGCCGCGTCCCCGCTGGTTATCATTAAACGGATTGCGTGGATTGAAGAAGCCTGCAAATAAATTACTCAGTTAGTATAGGGTAGATAGATTTGCAGCTGGAAAATGCTCACCTGGTCCTTGCTGTCTGCCGCCTGGCCCGCCGCCTTGATTACGCATAAACATGGGGCCTACTCCATTGCCCGTGCCCGGTCCACCCATGCGCTGATTAAACGCCGCTGGTGGCAGTATGCGCATTTGCATCAGACTCGTCGGCTGATTGAAGCGATTCGGATTCATATTGGGCTGGAAGAAGTCACCTCCGCCGTTGCCGCCATTATGGTTCCCACCGCGAGGTGCTGGTCCCATGCCACGTGGTCCACCGCCAGGACGATTATCGAAGTCTACATTGAATCAAACGAGATTTAGTCGAAGTTTAGTAACTCTACTCAGCCTGGAACTTACCCAAGCCAGCCATAAATTCTGGACGTGGCATGCCACCATGCTCCATGCTGTTTAGATTAAGGCGCGCTCGAGCCTCATTGAACGCTCCGCTAAGCGGAGGTGGTCCACCGGCGCCGTTTTCATTTCGCCAGCGATCCGACGTCTCGCCAATGTCGTCGCGGCCACCCCAACGTGAGCCGCCGCCAGGACCACGTGTTCGATCCCTCTGAAACAACTCATTTGCTGCGACCGCTGCAGCCACCTCGGCACTGTTGGGCGGCGCTGAGCCCCCTGCAAAAATGGGTGGCGGCTGGCTAAAGTTCGGTGGTTGTTGCTGTTGCTGCTGCTGTGACGGCGGCGGGACGGATTGCGGCGCATCCTCAAGCTCCATTTCTATGTCCATTTGATCGTCACTCACATTGCCAGCCCCAGAGACCGCAGGTGTTGGAATTGTGGCCATGGGCGGCGGTACGGCACCGGGTGGGGGGAACTGCGCGCCTGGCGGCAGTCCCAGGGGATGTGGCGGCGGACCGCCCATGCTCGGAAAACCGGGCGGCATCATGTTAGGCGGCATCATCATTGGCGGTGGCATACCGGGCACCATATTTGGAGGCATGGGCATGCCGCCCAAGGGATGATTCATGGGTCCCATGGGACCCATCATGCGCTGTGGTGGCGGTCCGGCCAAAGGCGGCGCCATCTGGAACTGACCAGGCACCATGCCCATCAGTGCTGGCGGAGGCGCCCCAGGCCCGCCATGCTGTGGCGGTGCCACTGGCGGTGGCTGTGTTGTGTCAATGCCGAAGAGCAAGTTTGGCGGCGCCACAGGCGGCGCCGTGGTGAGGTCAGCGGTTGGGACAGTTGCCTTGTTTTCTTTGACATTTTTCGCCTGATTTATTTTCTGCTTCATCCAGCTGGGCATGGTGTCCTCGTCAAACATGCCGCCTTCCTCAAGACTGTCAAAGTCGGTATCGGGACTCAGCTTGCTCCACGGCACATATGTGACGCCGAGCTCGAGGTCCCAGAAGTCCTTCCACTCCTTACTCTTGACACCCTTACCGGCGGCCCAAGATATGGTAATGGCACGCCCTTGCAGCTTGTGATTCTTTAGCGCTTGCATGGCCTTGTGCGCATCTTGGCGGCGGTTCATCACAATGAAGGCGCAACCCCTTGGCACAATCTGGTCGATGCTCACGATATCGCCATACTCGCCAAAAGTGTCTGACAGCTCCTCCTGATATACCAGCTTTGAGAGGTGGCCCACCCACAACGTGGTACTGCACACTGCAAGAAACAAAAATCTAATGTTAGACTTTTTGAATATTTACAAAAAGATGAAGCTATAAAGATAAATTGAATTAGGATAAGAATTTGATTTTCTAACTCGTTTTCAGTTGCTTTAAGAATTATACAAACATTATTAAAATGAGTCCAAAACTGATATTCATTTTGGAAAAATAAGTTCAGGAAATTATGTTTTATGCTTTTTTCTATACTCATAGTTGTTACATATTGTCATAAAATGTCTAACGCATTGGAGGTGACATCTCCGACCACATAAAGGAATACAGAAAAAAATGTATATGTTCGTCTATATTCTTATATGCAAGCGAATCTTCCCACCTAAAACTGTCGTGAAGAAACTTGACATAGTTTGGATGCGATCTCCTGTCGTATAAACAGATAGACTAAGTCCTTAAATAGACATTGTACTCAACTTGCCGAGCCCGACTTTCATTATTCCCGTTGCGAACATCAACCATAAATATCTAAATAAACATCATAATATAATTGCTTTTATCTGACCATGTTTTTCGTTTGAAATTGGAAAATATGTAGATTTGGATTTGGTTTGCGCCGTGAACTGAAGTAGTGACATATTTTTTGACAACATTCTGGTATTTAATATAAGATACCGAAATAAAAACCTAAACAAATCTTCGCATTTGTTTTAATATTAATATATATAGGAAATATGTCTCAATTTTACCCCAGTTGGTAAGTCGTAAGAAAAGTGCAGGTCGAAAATGCTAGATTTGTGGAAATATCTTTGAAATCTGCAGATTTTGCCTTATAAGATCATACTATTCCACCTATCTTTCCTATAACGGCTGTGTGAGTATCATAATGGAACTAGTTAAGCCCGAGTTTGGTCAAATTATATTAATATAAAAGAGTTTTCCATACAATAGCTTAATTATCGACCGATCGTTCCTATGAAACTGAGAAACTAGTTCGCATGGAAACAAAATAACCAACAGACGACATGGCTATATCGACGCGGCTGTTGATGCTGATCAAGTCTATATATACTTTATAAGGTCTGAGATGACTTCTTCTATGCGTTGCACATTTCGAAACAAATTATAAGAGTATAAGATTTAAAAATGTATATGCATGCTTGTAAATCAAGACTCCTTAGGCTCTCTGCGTGGAGTTGTAGCTTTAGTATGTACACGTTTGTAATTGATGTAAGCGTTAAGGTGTCATATGAATGCGTTACTTGGATGCCAAGCGTGATTCACAGGGCATCTTGAACGCACAGTTAAAATTTGTTTTGGGTGCCAAGTGCTTAGGTGGTAGTACACAATAAAATAAGGGTACATTAATATGCTTAATATCTGATTTGGTTGCCAAAAACTTTGCTCAGAAACGCGTCAGGGGCATTTGAGTATATTATGTGGGTTAAATAATGCCAGATAGTAAGATTTGATCATGTTTTAAGTACAAGAACCACTAAAGCTAAAACACACACACACACGCGCGCGCACACACACACACGTCAACCGAGCCAAGGAGCTGCAGGATAAAAAAAGGATGTACGTTTTAGCATTAATTAAAAAGGCTGTGGTAAATGTGGCATAAAAAGGTTTGCGCAGAAACTGAGGTCTTCTTGATCCTGCAAAGCCTTTGGCATGCGACAAATACCAATTCCGTAATGGCTTACGGCTTACGGCATACGGCATACGGCTTACGTGTTGTTACGTTACGTTACGCTATGGTTATGCATGGATAGTTACCACTTAGATGATCCTTCTTAATATCGGGCAGACCCTTCTTGCGACGCTCACGTTCATGCTCCCGATCCCGCTCCTTGTCGCGCGTGCTGCGCTCCATACGGTCACGATCGCGCGATCCGCGCCTACGGCTGGAACGTGGCGACCGGCTACGAGAGCGGGAGCTGCGCCGGCGACTTCCGCGGTCACGATCATTGGCATTGCCACCGCCACCACCGCCGCCGCCACCACCACGGTTGCGGGGTGACCGACTGCGGCTGCTTCGTCGACTTCGCTTGTATCGGTCCCGGTCGGGCGTGGGACTACGGGAATCGGCACCATCCAGATTGATAACCTGAGCGTTTGAAGTTTGGCAAGAAATTTGAGAGAAAGTGATGTGATATAAACGTTAACATTTTAAGCATAAAACAAATAATGGCGGGATGGAAGAGTGGGAACTGGGATTGGGTTGGTTTGTTTTTGTTGTTGTTGTTTTTGTTAGTATTTGGGTAGCTGGGAAAACATATTGGTTTGGTTTTTTAGTACTACAAATTATAGAAATACGTATTGTTTTTTATTTATATATATATTTTTTTTAAACTGCATTCTTGGCGTGTTGACGTGTGTTTTGGCCTTTTAATTGGTCGGCGGTTCTTTACTATTTCATTGGCATTTTTTAATCGATGCGTTTTCGAGCAAGTTTTTGTTTTCTTTGATGGGCAATTGAATTTGAATCGACTTGGAATTTCGGTTACATATTAAGGAACTTACCAAACGTTGTTATACGGGGCTTCTAGCATCGGGTTTCGCATCCGTCATTATTTATATAAATAAACCTTACCTTTGGGCTTTTATTTTTTACCATTTTTGTTTGTTTTAAATAAACGTATATGCAAATTTCAAGTTTAAATTTAAGTATGGCCCTTTAGACAGTTATTTCTTGGCCAAAACCATAAAATCAGACTTAATAGCAAGGCAATTCAAGTCGGGCTTTAAATCAGTTTTTATAATTATTAACATTAATAAGTGCTACCCGTTTGTACACTTTATAATTATTCCCCATTCTTTGTATATGCGTTTCCTTTTTTGTTTTTTTCACTCTGCTCGAGTTATTCAATCGGAACATTCAATCCTGCGCCCGGTATAACAACAGTTTGGGCCCGTCAGCAGCACTTGGCACCATGAATCCGGAACTATGTAAGTTGTTTGCAAATCAATTTCTCAACTCTAGTTCCAATTTCATGGGCGCATTTTGAATTTAATGATTTATCAACATATTTAACAAGAACTACTAAATTGCAAGTTTTGTGTGCCGTTTTGATTGATGTCAGTTTGTGGGATCAGTCAAAAATGCACACATTAACCTGCTTGATGAAACTATAGAATTGAAGGAATGTGAGCGTACCTCAATGGGTTGCTGTTCCGATATGAATTCCACGTCCTTGTTCATATCCGTCACATCGTTATGACCGCCCATTCCCATAGCCACGCCCGGTGGCATGCCAGCTGTGCCCTAAAATTATAAATATGTGTATTATAGCATGACCCAGAGAATTGCCTGGGTATACAAAATACGAGGGTCAAACGCGCACCTTAAGAACATTCTGCAAATGCTGCTGCAGTGCATCATCCTGGTAGCGATGTTTTTGGTTCTCCTCTTGCTGCTTGAATTTTTGAAAGTTTTGCAGCGTTTGCAGCTGGCGCAGCACATTGGGATCATTAAGCAGCTGCTTCAAATTGTTGTTCTGCAAAGGGAGGCGTACATTATATATATATATGTAGGATAAATGCATTGAAAAGATTGCAAATAACAAAATAAATAAACTAAAGCTAAACACAAAAAGTAACATTTAACAGAAAGTCCCTTGCATACATCTAGCAAATTCGATGAGCCAGGCGGCGAGTCGTCGCCCATACAATGATGATCTTCGCCCATCAGCATGTCACCATCCTCATCGTCAATTATCTCGCGCACATCATAGTCCAGCTCGTGCGAGCTGCTGCTTTTGCCATACTTGTGATGATGCGACTTGCTGGGGCCCATGCTATCGAAGCGGCTCTTCGAACCGGCAGAAACGCTAGACGCCATGCTATGCTGATGCTGCTGGCGTTTCATATAATGCTGCTCCATGTGACGTCGGCTAGAACTTGAGCACTTCTCATGACTTAGCTGTGTATTTTCACGCATTAGGCAAGCAAGACATGAACAAAGTAATGGTAAGAGTAACAAGAAATAATGGCAATTGGGTTAGCATTCGAATACAGCACACACATAGACTTATAATACTGCACCGGAGCCTGGCAATGAGTATAGCTCGTCATGGTGGCTCACTAGCTGTTGGTGTTTACATTTTACTAAACGTGTGGCCTTAACCTTAGTCTTTATGCGATATTGATTGCCAGTCTCTTTTTCACTACTGTGGTAATCATCCAGAGCCCACTCACCGACAGATCCGGCATAGCACCACCCAATTTGTCTTCGGTAGCAGCACTTAGGTCCATGTTGCTCATCCCAGAGGTATTAAGGCCGTTAGCAGCATTGTTACTGGAAATATCCGACAGATTTAGAGCACCACTGCTGCCGCTGGGCCCTGGGCCTGTGTTGAGGTTGCCCGGTCCGACGATTGGCGGCATTTGGTGATAAATGGGATGATTCGGGTCGGCCAAGTCGAATATCGGCTGTATAACGTCCGATTTGAAGACATTGTTCTTTTGCCAAAGGTTTAGCACGCGTATGATGCGACTCTTATCCTCGGGCGCGCATCGGAAGAGATTGGCAAAGGTTTCGGTCAGATTGCGCTGAAAGCGTGGCGCAAATACGTCCTTTTCGGTTCCGTACTGATGCCGCGATTGTCGCACAATCGAGTCTATGACATACAAGCCCGGCACTTTGTACTCCGGCTTGCATTTGAGTATAAACTTTTCGACACTCTGCACAACATGCTTGTAGAATTTGATTGCACGCATTGCCGACTTTGTGATGGCGGCCATTTTAGCCTTTGATATGGGCGGCCGGCTATCATAGAGCCCGGAGAGCTGAAAAATACATGTACATGTCAAGACGGTCAAAAAAATGGGTTCAGTGTGTGGACCAAGGCAGGACACGAGGTTTCTGTGTTGCCAACATTTAACATTTACATGTGTAAATTGGCGTGATTACAATTGTGTACGGTCCAAATTACACAACTACATATGGCGCATACAGACATGTATGTAAATACCGAGGTATGTATGGGCAGATATAGATATGTATGTATGTATGTACATGTCTATGGCAGCGGCCTCAACTTACCTCATTATTGAAAGCGACGACCGTCTCCATGTTCATTTCAATGCTCACCACTACACGCGCGCACAGAATTCAAATTCGCATACTATTTTAGTATAAAGGATCTTTATAAATTACTTTTACGCTTGTTTAACAACTTTTTACTTGAATTTTCACAATTTTTTCGCATGAAAGCGTGAAAAAATGGCTGCCGATAGTAGGGGTGCTTATTTCTTAAATCAACTTATCGGCAATATCGATATAAAACACACATACTTTGATATATTGAATTGTCAAGCAACGCTATCGAATACGTTCTTAAATTGTTAATCGATTACACTTAAAAATTGTAACAATATTTTCTTATGTTATGAGATTATATAAACATATTCTAATCGAAGTATCCGGCGTTTAGAATAAAGATGCACCAACTGCAAGATATTGGCGTTGCCAGACAACATAAAATGCAGTAATATGAAGGGGCTACCCCATATTATTATGGGTATCGTTGCGTTTTCTCTTATGCAGACAATGGTCACACTGGAAAGAAAGCAAAACGAAAACATTAGCCACTCAATTTTAACAAATTTAATGCTCAATAGTAATTAACAAATTATGAGCGCCCACCACAGGCCCCTCGATGATTCAGATGTTGCGTTAATACATACGATACGTTCTACGCCATCGCTATACGACCACAGACATGGAGACTTTCGCCTTTCGCAAAGAAAGGAAGAGGATTGGGCCAAAGTGGCTGAGACCTTAAACATTTCATCGCCCGATGCACGACGCAGATGGACTTGTCTGCGAGACCGATATTCGCGAGAGCTTAAACAAATGCGTTTGCATCCGAACTCTGAATTTGGACACAATGACTTTTTTAGGCAAATGGACTTTTTACGGGAGTTTGTGCGAAAACGTCGCGAGAGAAGCCGTCGTGACGATACGCCAACAAGTTGGCTGAAAACGGAGGTGAGAGCACCCAAATTGAAAGCACGTCCCGAGCCGGATACACTTATTGAACAGGACCTGGATGAGTCGCAAGTGTACGATGAGTGTGATCACAACTACGATGCCGATGCCAAGCTGGAAGTGCAGACTACGCAATCGGAAAGTTATTCGGTGCTAGTCGAAGCGGATGATGGAGACGGGCATGATTCATATGAGGAGTACATGGCCGATTCCGAATCAGCCGATCAGAAAGTCTTGCCCACAATGCAACCATCTCCATCTCTGGTCACAGTGCATACTGAGGCACCGACGACGGGCACAGTGTGCACTGCAGGGGTCTCGCCGTCTGATGCTGGCCATTCTCAGGCGGACATTGACTATATGGTCTGTGTGCCGAATGTCCGAGTCGAGCGGGAGCATTTGCCGCCAATTAAGCCTGAAGCATCGCCCGGATTCGAGGCAGTAACCGCACCAACTGCCACGAGCGCGTCCAACGAGACTGAGGATGACTTCTTCTGTAAATCGGTGGCGGCCTATTTGCGACAATTGTCGCGACGGCATAAAATAAAGGCAAAAGTGGAAATGTTCCAGGTTTTGGAGAAGTACATATTGCTTGAGGAGTCCGCAACAGCGCCTGGGACGAGTCACAATGGTTAAGCAGGTTACATAGCGACATATGTACATATAGTTTTTAAATAGATTTTTATGGAGTACAAATATACAACTGACAAAAATCAATGATTCTCTTAAGCTTACTTTAATGATTCTGATGAAGACCCAGCTCAGCAAAAGTCTTCATTGATGATATCCGCGTTGACCGCCAAGCCGCGCTCCTTGAGTGCTTTGGACACCAGTCGATGCTTCTCCTGGCGCTGTTCTTGCTCACGACGCTGTGCATCGAGTATCTCATCAACGGAAATCTCTTTCAGGGGAAGCTTTTGTTCTTTGTCACGATCCTGGAATATACATAGTATTGTTATGTTATTGAATCTACTCGCATTTCTACTCACAATCTCGCCAAGCAGCACCACATTCTCGCCGCGTATTATAAAAACTCCGCGCGGTATATCACCGTACTGGTTGCCAACGTGTATCCGTTCAATTGTCCGCTGCAGAACTAAATTGGCAAACTGATCCACGGATCGCAAGTAGCCAATCAGTGTACGGCCGTCCCGAAGTAGAACCATAAGTTTCTCTACGAATTCAAATTGTTAAATTATTACGAATAGTACATTATGCCGGTACTCCATTAAACATACTATCCACTTCCTCCAGCAGATGTGCTGTTCCAGCCAAGGGGTTGAGGTCGTCCATTGGGCGTGGGTTAAGTGTTATTTACCAAATGTTAGTAGAAAAGCCTTTTACACCTAAATTATATCAAAAATACTTTGGAAAAACATCTACTCAGCCTTAAATGCAATAGTACTACTGAAAACTTGTTTTGCGACTGGTACGCTGACAACATTTTGCTGCAAATATTTTGCTATGTTCAATTGCTTATTTTGCTTGGCTGTGCGATATTCGCAAACAAAGATACATTTGTATCAATATTTAAGCCGTCGTTGGCGGTTCATTAAAATTGAAAATTAGTAGCAACAAAAAAATTATTAAATTTCGATTTCACCACTCATATATTGCGTTATTGACTTTTTGCTTGAAAAACAGCGTACTTTTCTGTACGATATATTTTGGACTCGCAAAAATTACACTTATCGATTGTTATCGATTGGTGCCGGCATGGAGGGCGATTTAGCAGCCGGAATTAAACAACTGCGAAGCTAAACAAAAAACGTTCTAAGAAAAACAAACAATCCTTCAGGTAGCTGTTGCTAAATCCTGTTGATAGGCACATCGGAGCAAAATGAAGTAATTTCAATAATGATTGTGCAAGGAATAGAGTCACTTCTTCTTTAACTGTCCTAGGCTCAGCGTTGACGGGCTGCTTGTCTATTTTCCCTATGAATACATTTATCCGGAGCAATATGCATACATGCTGGAGCTTAAGAGAAGTCTGGACGCCAAGGGGCATTGTCTGCTTGAAATGCCTTCAGGAACAGGAAAAACAGCCACATTGCTCTCCCTGATTGTAGCCTACATGATCGAGCATCCGGAGACAGTGCGCAAGCTAATTTACTGTTCACGAACGGTCCCAGAGATTGAGAAGGTTATTGCCGAACTGCAGAACTTGATGGTCTACTATGATCGGCATTGCCCCGTACCCCCGGGCTTTACCGGCCTGGTTCTTAGTTCACGTAAAAACATGTGCATACACCCTGAGGTGAGTAAAGAGCGCGAGGGCAAGGCGGTGGATGGCAAATGTTATGGTCTTACTGCCAGTTACATACGTGAACATCACGAGTTGGATGCAGAAGTTCCAATTTGTAAGTAGAGGCAGTGCCTGTCAATCCGACCAAAGCTTTATACCTATCTATTCTGCTCGTAGGTCAGTATTTTGAAGGCTTTACGTTAGAGGGCAAGGAGTCAACGCTGCCTGTGGGCATATACAGCCTCGATGATCTAAAAGAATATGGACGTTCGAGGAATTGGTGTCCCTACTTTCTGGCACGCTATGCCGTGCGTAACAAATTATATCCAAAAATATGTGCCATAACTGATTGACTTTTCCCTGCCAGATTGCACACGCGCACATTGTGGTCTACAGCTACCATTATCTTCTGGATCCGAAAATAGCGCAGGTCGTGTCGAAGGAGATGACGCGCGAGGCCTGCGTGGTATTTGATGAGGCTCACAATATTGACAATGTGTGCATTGACTCGATGAGCGTGAAAATCAATCGACGAATTGTGGAGCGCAGCACAAACGCTTTGAATCAGCTCACAAAATTGGTCCAGGAGTAAGTTTAAAAACTTTATAGATAACTAGAAAAGCTCATTCATTACGTTTTGTAGCATGCGGGAAGAGGACACAAACCGATTGAATGAGGAATACCAGCGTATGGTGCAGGGCCTCAAGGATGCTAGCGTACAGCGGGACACGGATATGATACTGGCAAACCCTGTGCTGCCCAGCGATGTGCTCAAGGAGGTGGTGCCGGGCAATATACGCAATGCGGATCACTTTCTTAGCTTCTTGCGTCGTTTCGTGGAATACATAAAAACCCGGCTGCGTGTGCATCACGTGGTCCAAGAATCACCTGCCGGATTTCTTAAAGATGTTTCATCTAAGATATGCATAGAGCGCAAACCCTTGCGCTTTTGTGCCGAGCGCTTGTCCAGCTTGTTGCGCACTCTTGAGATCAGCGACTTAACTGAATATGGCGCGCTTACGCTGGTATGTGTTAGCCTTTGACCTGTTGTTGAATTCGATTTAATAGTCCATTTACTGCCCACAGATAACGCATTTTGCCACCCTAGTCTCGACGTACACGAAAGGCTTCACAATCATTATAGAGCCTTTCGATGACAAGACGCCGACTGTTTCTAATCCTATAATGCATTTTAGTTGTTTGGACTCATCCATTGCCATGGCTCCAGTATTCTCACGCTTTCAAACAGTTGTAATCACATCGGGCACGCTGTCCCCGATGGATATGTATCCCAAGATTCTTGACTTTGATCCAGTTGTTATGAGCAGCTTTACAATGACATTGGCTCGTCCCTGTCTGCTGCCTATGGTAAATGTTAAAATGATAATATTTGGGGGATTTTAATTTCGTATATTTATAATTTTTTTTTTTGAACAGATTGTATCGAAGGGCAACGATCAGGTGGCCATTTCGTCAAAGTTTGAAACGCGCGAGGACACTGCTGTCATAAGGAATTATGGCCAGCTTTTGGTGGAAGTGGCTAAAACAGTGCCCGACGGCATTGTTTGCTTCTTTACGTCGTACTTGTACTTGGAGTCGGTTGTGGCATCCTGGTACGACCAGGGCATTGTCGACACTCTACTGCGCTATAAGCTGCTGTTCATTGAGACTCAGGACAATGCCGAAACCAGCTATGCGCTCATGAACTATGTTAAGGTGAGCCCCATCATCTGTCCGCAACAGAAGCACAGAGCCAACTGCTATGGCTTCCACGATGTGCTTGACACACATTTACCTCGATCTTCGTTGTATCTCCGTTTAGGCTTGCGATTGCGGTCGAGGCGCTGTTCTGCTAGCTGTGGCGCGTGGCAAGGTCTCCGAGGGTGTGGATTTCGATCATCACTATGGTCGCGCGGTGCTCATGTTTGGCATACCTTACGTTTACACGCAGTCGCGCATTCTCAAGGCGCGTCTGGACTATCTGCGCGATCAGTTTCAGATACGAGAGAACGACTTTCTGACCTTTGATGCCATGCGGCATGCAGCACAGTGCGTGGGTCGAGCATTACGTGGCAAGACGGACTATGGTATCATGATATTTGCAGACAAACGTTTCTCACGTCAGGACAAGCGTTCACGTCTGCCCAAGTGGATACAGGAGCATCTGGTGGACAGCTTCTGCAATTTGAGTACTGAGGAGGCTGTGCAATTGGCTCGCCGCTGGCTGAGACGCATGGCGCAGCCTTTTTCGCGGGAAGATCAGCTGGGCATATCGTTGCTGACTTTGGCGCAACTGGAGGGCATGGAGCAGGAGAAACTGGAGCGACAGGCGCAGGGAAAGCAGGGAGTGGGTGGCGAGGTGCAGGAGCTGTAATCGAAATGAACGTCTCGTGGTATTGCAAACCGGCTCTTCAATTGACAGGTGCCGGCTTCCTTCCGCAATGTATTTGATTTTCGACTGGGCATGCTTGTGTCTGTACGAGAATAATTATAATAAATGTTGAATTTGTTGCCAGCTAATGGCATTGAATGCCATTAAACGGAGCAGCAAAAACAAAATTGAAAAGTCAAAAGTTTTGGTTGACTGTGGCGGGTTTTTTTTTATCATTCGACTTGGCCAGGCTAAACTCACGTAAATGCCTTATTAACTGATAATTAATATTATTAATTTAGCGGTTGCTCATTCCCCCAAATGAATGACTCAATGCCCAAACGCACAAACCGCGGCTGTCGCTCAAGGCGGCGACCAGCCAATGTTGTTGTTATCGATTATGCCAAATCGATGACGATAGTTTTCGTAACTAAATCGAAATTTCAATTGCTATCGTTTATGGCTGCAATTAGCCCTCGACTTTGAAATGGTACCTGAAAAGTTGATCGACTATTTAACATGTAAAAACTTAAACTCCATAATTGTCAATGCCTTGTATTGATGCGCAGCCAACATATATTATCTTAGTGCCGTGGGCTAACATAAAATGTACGAATAAGTATTTCCAAATGTACGTATTATACTTATTAAGCTGCTATCGCTAGCGAAAACGGTTTCTTAATGATTTTGTTTGCGCAAATAATTGCTTGCAAACATTTTTGCTAACAATTAAGAAAATTATATTCGATTTTGAGATTTCATACATTCAGCCAAGATTCTTAACAACGACGAAAATTTTATCTACCAATTTCCTGTAGTCCTCGTGTGAGCTTGAGAGTGCGCTAAGCCCGAAACACTCAGAGAGAGAGAGAGAGAGAGGGAGAGAGAGAGAGAGTGGGTAGCGCAAAAGCTTTGCAATAATACATATACAATTACATACGTATATATGCACATAACTAACGGCCACGGCCAGCACTCAGAGAGCAACAAGTAAGCGAAAAGTAACCGAATACAATTACAGTGCACCTACGCTAAAAGGAATTCCTACTATGAAATCGGTTGATATAAGATGACTATATATTTTTTAACTTGTATGCCTAACACATTAAAAACAATTTGAAGGGATGTCGAGTTTGGCCTTAAAAAAGCAATAAGCAACAATTCTAATTAACTTACACTTGTATATAATTGCTGCGAAAAGTGTTGTGATTGACTTATCGTTAGTTTACTGTATTAGCAACAACAACGGCAACAAAAGGCAAGCGACCGCAAAAGCGACGCTGGCAGCGTCGCCGACAGTTGTATCTCTCGTTGAACAAGAACTTTCGATTTTTCATAATAAAAAGGTTACAACTAAATCTCTGGCCGTTTAGTCGGGTGTAGCAAATAAAAGCGGAGCGCGCGCGCATTAACGTCAACCAATAAAATTTTAATAAATTAGCAATCAGTAACAGCCAAATTGATATCTAACAAAAGCCCATAACGGCTCAACTGAAGCCACGCGTTATTTAGTTTTTTAATTTAGTATCGATTGTACGCGCTAGTAAACCAAACCAAAACTACCAACCTAGAACTTACGCATATCCTTTTTAAGTTCATTTCAAAACACACACAACAAATTATACCCAATTTCAATAACAAAATGAAGCCTCAAGTTAACGAACAAAATGGTAGCACTCAAAATGGCGACATTGCCACCGATGCTGCCAGCGTCGCCATGGACGCTGCCGCGATCGTGCCAGCAGCAGTTGCCGCCAGCGCGGGCACCGTTGTTCCTGCCAAAAGCAGTCAGCAGCTGAAACTGGAAATGCTTAACATAGGCAACGGAAATGGTGAGTGTGACCAGAGACCATGTAAATACACTCTGTGTGTGACCGACTAGAAAGGATTGCAGTCGCTTCCTAGTACAGCTAGCTTGTTGTTTCCTGCTTTCAGATAGCAGCATGAACAGTAATTAGCTGCTTAAATGGCTGTCAGTTAAGTTACAAATATCTTCGATTCAATACAATACAGCATGTTAATTAACAGTGTTATTTATCATACTTTTATCAAGGCTGCAAAACGAATGTTATGTTATTATGTTTTTGAAAACCTAATGCAACAATTAAATTCTTATTTTATATTATATATTATATCATATTTTATATGTAGTTCAATCCTTACGTATATTCATGAATGTTTTATTTGATCTAGTTTGAAAATTGGAGCCAAAGTTATTTAAACTTTGGAACTGGATCGTCTGAGTAATGTTTTTGTTTGAAAACTGGTTCGTTTTCAGGTTCGGTTCATAGCAAAAAGGAATTGCAGCTCCTGCTTGTAAAAAGTTCAGTTAAAAGTCCAGATTTGCATACATAACATTTAGTTCGTTGTCGATTATTGCCATGTTCTATTTATTTAGCACACGTGGTAAATACGGGCTAGCAGGTAACATAAGAGCCAGACTAGTTTCCGAGCAATAGGGCCTTAACATTTCATCACACAGCTTCGCATGGATGGGATCAAGTTAGTTCAAATGCAGCTCAGATTCGCGCAATGACCCTCCATGCATAGCTCTGATTTCCGGCGATGCTGGCACATAAAACCCATGGCACATAAGCCGCAAATGGGAAACTCAAATTTCTGACTAACCAAAATTCCTCAAGTGCTCTCAAGTCCGCACACAAGTCTATATATGTATGTGGAAGCCGTACAATGGCAGATCAAAAACAATTTAAACAAAAAAAAAAGACATACGAATACTTAATCGTAATAGATTTATTGACATTGACATTGAAAGTTTCGCTGGTCGCTTAATGCAGATCGGCAGATTCAACGATTTATGAGCTGGCATATTGTGGCACATGAGCATAAGCTCCTCGTCGTAATCCGGTATTTGGCCGAAACCCCGTGGCGGAGCGGGGCTGGTACTACCTGTACTACTTTCTGAAGGTTAAAAGCATTTAATTGGACGCGAGTACCAACACACGAGCTGCCGTTTAAAACGGTTTAGATTTGTCGGTTTTATGTATATAAATACATATATCTATTTTTTGTCTTTTGGTTTTCTGTTTCTTTCATATCGCATGAGTAATAAGTCGCGCCGTGCTTCACATTTGAGCGATCGCGGTCAATAAAAACTAACCCGCACGTAGTACGGTATTTGGCTTGTAATTGCAGCATATAAGGAATGCCAAGAATCCTATCTGATTCGATATTAAATATATTCTGAATTATCCATCAAATGCTCAAAACCCCCCGCACAGGCGTAGCATTCCTCTTCGTAGAATTCCGTAATGCGTAATTGTTAACTATATGACAAAAAGTAAAAAAATAAAAAAAAAATAAAAAAAAAACACCTGCCCTGTGATAAATGTTAATGATGACTTACCTTACTTACTTAATTGCATTGCATGCTTACGATATTTGCCAACAGGTTGGCCGTACACTTGTCTCACGCTCTAAAGGCATTGATTTGTGGCATTCATTCGTTCAATTCGTGGTATCTGACTATTCACATCCACTTTGCCAATGTTAAATCGATTCAGCAAGCATCCCGAGCCAGTTTCGAGGGAGCCTTATAAAGTCCATTGCAGAGATTTTACCGTAATATTTCTAAGCCCAACTTATTACAACGATTTTCACAGTTTCAAGGGATCTGATACAATCCATCATCAGATGTTAGTGTACTTTCCTAGTACCCAACTTATTCCAGGTTCCAGTTGTTGCAAGGAAGCTTTTAAAATCCATGGCCGAGACTTGAAAGTTATAAACTACCTTATAAAGTTCATTGCAGAAAGTTGACTGTACTTTTTCTGAACCCAAATCATTTTTTCTATTATCACAGTTTCTAGGGAACCTTATAAATTCCATTCCACAGATTTGACTGTACTTTTTCTGAACCCAACTTAGCTCAATGGAATGTGTACAAGGGGAGTACATGGGGAACTTATAGAATCCATGGCAGAGACTTAAGCGTACTTTTTCTGAAGTCAACTTATCTCAGTAGCACATGTTATTAATCATAAGTATTCACATTGCATAAATTTTACTGTACTTTATTCTGAATCGAACTTATTTTATCCAAATATCTCGCGAACTTTTAGTGTACTTTTTTCTGTATCCAACTTTATCCTATAATCATTATCACAGTTTTAAGGGAGCTTACAAAATCAATTGCAGAGACCTAACTGTGCTTTTTCTGAGCTTCACTTATCTTATTCGAATATGTATAGTATTTGGCATCAGTTATTCAGAGTTTCAAGGGGACCTTATATAATATATCTCGGAGACTTTAATGTACTTTTTCTAAGCCCAAACCATTTCTTCCATTAACACAGTTTCGATGGGAACCCTATAAAATATATTTCAGAGATTTTACTGTACTTTTTCAGAACCCAACTTATGTCATCCGATATCAAAGTTTCAAGGGGACCTTATATAATATATTTCTGAGACTGTACTTTTTCCAAATCGAACCCATTTCTTTCATTAACACAGTTTCGAGGAGACCTTATAAAATGTATAATACAGATTTTACTGTACTCTTTCTGAACCCAACCCATTTTTTCCATTATCACAGTTTCAAGGTGATCCCATAAAATATATTTCAGAGACTTTACTGTACTTTTTCCAAATCGAACCAATTTCTTTCATTAACACAGTTTCGAGGGGACCTTATAAAATTTATCGCAGAGATTTAACAGTACTTTTGCGTGAACTCCACCTATCTGAATGGGATATGCATAGGATATATACAGCTGATTCTTAACTATATGTGCATATATGTTAAGTTACCCAACTGGCGTTATTCCGCAGCTCGAGAAGTGTGCACAATTCTATCCCTAAAAAATCCACTAATTTCAAATCGAATACAAAAACCACAACAATTAGCATTCTCAGACAGTCGAAATGCATAAATTGTTTGTTACGAGACGCTGTGAGTTCATTGACTTCGGGAACTTCGGGGACACTTTCTATATAGCTAAGCATATACAGATATCTGTACGGAATATATGTATATACATAATTGTGCTCGACTTTCGCATAAGCCATACAAGTCGCGTCTGAATAACTTTTGGTCCTTTTGCTGGCTTCGCCTATAAAGGAATATGTTTGCTTTTTTCCATCTCTCTCTGTTTGATTGGGTTTGGCAATTTTTATTCAATTCATCTATGGCTGACAAAAGTGCTGCTCGAATTAATGTTATTCGAAAACTGAGGCTCATTAAATTCCAAATTTTCGTCTACATGATTGTCTCCTCCTCCAACATGTATTCCGTGAGATCTCCAGGTCCTGACAATAGGGTGACTGGCACACGATTCATTTGTGCCACCTTCTGACTGGGCCAGACCATTATGTCGTTGCAGTTGGTCAACACCATAACGTTTGTGTTGTCCGTAGGAGTGCAGGGTAGTGTCGATATCTTCTCGGTGTCGCAGCTATTTGCCTTCCTGCGGAAACGAAACCTTATGGGCTGTGAGTTGTCCATTACGGTCTCCTCATCAAAATAGGGCGGTGTGGGCAGCTTATAGACCGGATTGGTAATAGCGGGTTTTGTTAGCTGCAAAACGCGAGTCAATGCAAATCAAGTGGGAAGGGATTATTCCGTGCTGCTTACTCCTTACCTCTTCTATTACCACAGATGTCTTTTTGCGCCGACATGGATCACAATAGTTTGGCCCATTGGCATCCGTTGGAGTGCCGCTGGAGCATGGATCTGGAGGCGGCTGCTCTGGCTGAATGGCTCCCATTTCTTGTAGTTGTTTCTGCTTTTCCTTCATCTTGGCCTCCGCGGAATCGCCCGCGTTCTGCTCCATGCAACGCTTCAGAAAGTTCTCTTCGATATCTATTAGTCGCTTGACGGCACAGTCCCGTTTCAGAAAGTTCTTAATCACGGAAAGGTCACGTGGCACAGCGCCAATGACATCGAAGTCATCGCAGCGGAGCTTAATTCGATGAGCCATGCTGCAGAGAATTTGGAATTTTGTCAGAGCAGGATTCTTCTCTTTGCCTTTGTCTTTGTGTGTAACTGACGTTGAAGTTCTGACGGCTGACGCTTGGGTAAACATACACAAAAAAAAAAAACAAAAAGTTCAAATTCAAACAAACAGTATTAACTGGGACCTTGGCCGATTCGAGTGGGCGCCAACCCAGCCCAGCCCACCTCCGCCTCAAAAGCAACAAGTTTGAAAGTCAACAGTTTGGCCAGCACTGGCCCTCAAACTGTAGGCATGCGCTGTGCGCAAATCCAAAGCTCGCACACGCCACACACTCGAAAGCTTTTGTCGCTCAAAGCTCCGCTTGAAGTTCTTATTAGCATCGCAGAGCCCAACGGGCAGCCAGTTGCCCAAAGCACTTCACAACGTTAACACGCAGCCCAGTTAGCCAAGTCCGAGCTCCGAACTCTCTTAATCCAAAGTCTAAATTTTGTGTATTTATAATTTGGCAATTTCTATTTGCGCGGCCATTTTTGTTGTGCACGGACAAACATTTAACACAAAAAAAACCCATTTCGGAGCCACAACATGAGCTTCACACGCCAGCTATCCGAGATGAGCGCCAGCGAGCTGAACGATGCCATCGATGATACCAATTTTCCGCAGGCGCATATACTGTCGCGTGGCCGCAACAACAGCGTCTGCTCAACAAGTAGCACCTCGGGCACCTCCTCGCTGGTGGACCGTGCGGTTAACCAGCCGGAGGATCTGGCCACGGTGCCGCCAGCAGCTGCGACCGAGGAGCCAGTGGTCAACATGCGTCCTCGCCTGATACTGAAGAGCAGCAACAGCATCCCGGAAAACGATGGTACACAACCGATAACACCAATGACACCGCGTACATCGACAACGCCAGGTAGTGGGATTCTAGGGATGCGTAGGATGCATTGTTGTTGTTGTTGTTGTCGACACGTGTCCCCCCACATTGAATCATTCAATTATTGTGCCTGGCACCGAGCCGGGTTAATGCCCAACCCCATTCTAATCGCTTTATTCAATGTGCCAGGAACTCACAGATCAATGCAATAATAACAATTATATTGCCAAGTGGCGCCTGACAATTAAATTGCCAAGTCTCGCCTAACGGCCGTTAACCGTTAACCGTTAGACGTTAGCCGCTTAGTGATAACAGCTCGAAGCCCCCCGTTTGTTACACTGATATGAATGCCCGAGCACTAATTCTGCTGTCAGAGGTTCAATTGTGCTTAGATCTGATTTGTTTTCACCCCAGCCCCGTGCTGTGTTTGATGCAGTCGGGGGCACATCGGGGTTTGTGGGTTATCTTGAGGGAATGTCGAGTCGAATATACAGACGCTGCTGTTCTGATGCTTTCTTTGTTTTCATTTATGTAGGCCATGAGAACTGCACCTTCCACCACGATCTGGAGCTGGACCATAAGCCGCCGACGCGCGAGGCTTTGCTGCCCGATATGGCGCGCTCGTATCGCCTCTTGCTGGGCGGACTCGGCGAGAATCCCGATCGCCAGGGCCTGATCAAGACGCCGGAGCGCGCCGCCAAGGCCATGCTGTACTTCACCAAGGGCTACGATCAGAACCTCGAGGGTGAGTGCTCAAAATACAATTCGAACATGCATAAACATAAGCCCAATTAGCACTCGACACTTTTTGTGTGCGTCCAATTAGCATTGGGTCAGTGATCCGATCCTGTGCACAGTGCCTGCCATGAATCAGCGCCAAGCGGGCATTTCCATCAAGAAGCTAAACTAGTTGCTTTCGCAGTGTGATTCACCACGTCTACGTCTACGTCTGGGGGCTCTGTCCACGCACTCGCATGTAACTCACCTTTATCTCAGGTGCATTACCTAATTGTCGGTTGCGTTATGAACTGAACGAATGCAGTTGTTCTGCAGTGCACTTGGGGTTGTGACACTTCTCTGCCCAATTCCTGGGAATCCTTTTTTTAAGTTTTCCTGGCCAATATCTGATTAGATATGTTGTATAATTCACGTGTTCAATTTTTCAGCTGTGTTGTTTTTAATGTGAATTGCAAGTATGCAGACCGGTTTTAAAAATAGTCAATTCGAAAAGCAGGTTCTACACTTTATTAAATACAATCGCACAAAGTCAGAGTCACATTCAAATTGGCCGCGACAACAAACTGCCCGACATTAACGAAAGTAAATCGCCTCGAGCCTGTTACATTCATATCAAAAGCGCTTTTATCTCCCTTCAATTTACATTTAACTATGAGAGCTTGCCAAAATTAGGCAAAATTTAACGAAACTAATGCCGTTAAAGGCTTCAAATGTGCTGTGGTAGGTTGGAGGGGGGGCAAGTGGGGCACAGTTACTGTGAATTGACAGGAAACGCACTTAAGCTTTTAAAATTGTAACGGTAAGAGGGAGAGCACGCAGAGAGAGAGAGAGTAAGAGTGAGCGTGAGCGTGAGCGTGAGAGCGCGTGGACTGCTGCGGGCGTCAAGTGGGCGTCAAGCACTTAAGGCAAGCCGAGCAGAAGTGTGCAAAAAACAAATCACAAGAGTGGGCAGCATTTAAAGCTGAAGTAGTGAAAGCTCAAGCTCCTAAAGAATGGCCAACAAGTGGCGCCAACAGCCATACACATGCACACTCACACACGCGCACACACCAACACACACACACACACACACACACACACACACATGCACTTACGCACAGCGCTGTGGCTGCGGCACATTAACAGTCAAGTGGAAAAGTTCAACTTAAGATTCAGTTATGCCATTGCCACACATTTTATTGAGCAAATAAATCTAGCATAAAATATGCCAAACGTCAACATCAACATAAATCAACTTGCAGATAAGTAATACTTACAATTTCCTTCTTCTTGTATATGCTTTGTGGCTCAGACGTGCTGAACGGCGCGGTCTTCGACGAGGATCATGACGAAATGGTCGTTGTCAAGGACATTGAAATGTTTTCAATGTGTGAACACCATTTGGTGCCGTTTTATGGCAAAGTGTCCATCGGCTATTTGCCATGCAATAAGATTCTAGGACTTAGCAAGCTGGCTCGGTAAGTTTAACATTAGCATAAACAGGCAATCCTAAAATTTATGTTTCTCTTTTCTTTTCTGTATATTTTAGCATCGTTGAAATATTCTCGCGTCGTCTTCAGGTCCAGGAGCGTTTGACCAAGCAAATTGCCGTTGCTGTGACTCAAGCGGTGCAGCCAGCTGGCGTTGCTGTCGTTGTCGAGGGCGTGTAAGTACACAACATAACATAATAGTAGTGTTCAATTTTTTCGTTCGGAGATAAAAAAAAACCCGATTTCTATATATAAATACCAAAAAACTAATTTGCATCGGCCGGGAATCGAACCCGGGCCGCCCGCGTGGCAGGCGAGCATTCTACCACTGAACCACCGATGCTTTTGATGCTGGCAGCGCTAAAATTAAACAAAAACACACAAAGAAGTTATTAACCAACTTAAACGGATTCATCTAGCTTATCTACTGCCACATTTAGATAATTTAGTTAACCGAATTGTATGCTTTCTCTTTCAGACACATGTGCATGGTCATGCGGGGTGTGCAGAAAATCAATAGCAAAACTGTTACCTCGACTATGCTTGGGGTGTTCCGCGATGATCCAAAGACGCGCGAGGAGTTCCTAAATCTAGTCAATAGCAAATAAAAATATTAATATTTTTGACTTGTGTACAAATTTGTTGAAATTTTTAGTTTCGGTTAGCTAAATATGCAAAATATACGTACGAAAACATCGCGAATTTTGGTGTCGGTAGTTTTACACACAATACGTTTGTTCATTTTAAACGCAAATTATGGCACATAAATAAATAATATTTTTTATATACACATACATACACATTGTATGCAATAAGGGAACAACTAATGAGACATCATTGCAAACCGTTTAGGGAATTTACAATTAAGCTAAAATTCGTAAAAATAATCTACACATATAAATTAATATATACTTACATATATTTACATATACGAACAAAAACATACAAATTAGTAAACAAATGGAATCGTTCGAATTGCCTGTTATTTATATGAAAACATATGTATTTTTTAAAACAAATATGTATATTCATGAAATTCAACTTTTAAATTTTAAATAGATAAATGAATGCTCATTTTGCAATTGTTGTTCTTGCACCAAACAGAATCTGCTTAAAGTATTTAATAAAATATATATTTGAACATTGTTAAAATTACATGCATTTTTTAATATTTCGTAAAAGGAATATCAAATACCTACTAATAACGTAAATAAACAAATATGAAAAAATCAAATATGCTTGAATTAAAATGAAAACGTTAAACGCATATTTACACATGGTTTTTCTTTTTATAAATAAGTATGAAAAAGTTCATCCTAATGTGACCCCGACGTGAATCGAACACGCAACCTTCTGATCTGGAGTCAGACGCGCTACCGTTGCGCCACGGAGTCCTTGCTGGCAGTCCTACCAAATGCTTTATAAATGACAAACACAAATTGCTACGTGCTTATCCTAGTTGAAGCATATAAATAAAGCTTATATATACAAACATTTTGTGGATGCATGAAGTGTAGAATAAATTTTGAGTCCATTTTCAAAAAAGGACTTTAATATAAGGACTAATTTGGAACATTGATAATCCGCCTGAATTTTATAAAAATGCAGTTTATTTCCTAGTTTTAACAGCAAGGCAACAGAGTTTAAAGCAATTTTAGGACATCGTAAGAATGAAAAATCGGATTTTAAGCCGTTCATTGTATGAAATTACAACTACTTATTTATTTGGTTTGTACAATTAAACTTAGTTGGTATACAGAACGAATAGAAGTGATTTTAACTTTGGCGTACTCTAAAATCAACAAATGCATATATTTTTGTACAAAAAAATCTAAAAATAGGACATTATTGCAATCCGCGGTAGATGAGTATAGATTGAACAAAACGGATCCAGTTTCGAATCCCAAGCTAGTCTATAGACGGAGTATTGTCCTAGCCGAAGGCCATTGCTGCCAATGCTGTTTAAAAAAATAAAAGTTAGGTTGATAGTTTTGAACTTTATACTATACTTATATTAATAAAACTAGACATAAGCAGAATGAAATCTAAACGAATATACATATATACTAGCTGCATTTATTTTACAAATTTTAGGGCAGTAAGGCTTCATCTGTTATCTCATAGTTATCCGTCCAACGGTGTTCCCAAATAGACCATTGACACCTCCGTATTGCCATAAACAGCAGATACCGTGGGATAAAGCTTCTTATCTGGCAGACCTACAATAAAATCAGCGTATTATTTGACTCTTTAAAAAGGCATATTACACGTTTACATTTAATGAATAACTCACCCCTAAACGCTACTCCCAGAAACTCATAGTTTTTCTCAAATGACAGAGTATTATCATCGCAGTCGAGTATAACGCGAATACGTTCGCCAACCTGATATTTGGGTGCATTGTTTAACAGCGGGTAATTGCCCTGCATATCACCATTGTGTAAAAGATGATTCTCGACCAGGTTCCAGCCCCAGCTTTGATCATCGGAGCCAAGTAGCGCCACATAGCCATGACACTGCAGAGCCGCTTCCTTTGTGGATATGCCAATGACGGCAACTGTGCCCAATGGTCCCTCCCAGATAACTTCCCATGCATGACGACCTTGACGGAAACCGATTTTACCTCGTGCTGCATCCGTACTTTGTGCTACCGGATTTCTACAATAAAAAAGAAAAAGATTAAGAAAGGATATAAACAGACAACATCAATTACCCACCGATGGAGAGTAAATCCATTTGGCTTTATATAGACGTTCCGTGAGCAATCGTTGGGACTCCAGGCATGTAGGTACGCCCGCAGCTTTGTCTTGTATGTGGAGACGGAGGCCAGCAGCTCGGATTTGATTGCCTCTTTGGGGAGCTTGCGCAGGCAGTGCCAACGCCAAACGTCGCTGTTCTCGTCGTTCAGGAAATGATACCAGCTTTTGCAAACTTGCGAACATCGATATAAATCGTTGAGCTCCAAATATGAAAATATTGCCTCCAATACATTGTAATTGCACAGCGGATCGACCATTTTGTTGTTGTCTAGTCGTGTTCCACTGATCTCAGGTGACAATGAGCTTTGCTGGATTTATGATTGGCTTGTGATTTGAGAGCACTTATTATTATTATGTAGATTTTAACTTTTCACTTAAGGTATAACCAAATTGATGTTTTGTCATTTTATAATATCAATAATATGTTTATGATACTATTTGGCAAAATCAGCCGTGCTTATGCAGAGTTGCGTCAAATGGTTCGGAACAAGTTCATTTGTACTACTGAATTTAATGAACATACTATCGTTCATTTAGTTCTTAGGTTCATCTAATTGTACTCTTTGTTCCGTTCGCTTACATGTGCTATTTATATTTAATTGATTTTAACAAGCACTTTGCTCATCATATTTATAAAATTAAAAATGCCTAACATACTGAGGCTCGATATTTGAATTCAGCAAAAGCCTTAATTTCTAGTTTGTGTTTAAGAAACTATCGATATGCAAAAGCATCAGCAATAGAAATGTTAAGATGGCCTCAAAGGTGTTATCGATAAGGCGATAACTATATTGTTTACATTTTACACATAGTGTTGTATATCGTTAAAAAATAAACAATTTTTACATATATATGCGATAGCTTATGCTTTATATTTATCAATATTGTTAATAAAACGGTTGAACGAATCAATAAAATTTAAGTGTTAGTATTAATGTAATTGTCGTATGAAATTATACAGGATACCTTGTCGGCATTGACACTTTCAGCTGTTGTTCCCTATATAAGCAGCCAGCTGGCGGTGATTGAGTACATGTGAGCATGGTAATAGATTGTAATGCAATAATTAAAACGAAAAACTACCTAGTTTTGTTATATTGTATTGTATGAGTGGCGCTATCCTGACGTACGTTACACAACACTGAGTTCGATTGATGCGTAAATTTGGCGCGCCGAGCCAATCAGCTGTTCAACGCGGTGTCTGCCATTTCGCTCGCACTCGCACGTTGGTCGTTTTCGTAGTCGTTGTCGTCGTCGTTGAAAAAGCAACGACTTGATGGAAATTTTGTGCGTATCGCGCTGCTATATAAACGAAATATAATATAATTCTAAATAGTGCACAAGAAACATCACAATTTGTCGATCCTTTTGCAAAAAAGTGCTCAAAAATCGAAACCCCCGAAGTGTTCGAAAAACGCCTTCGAAAACCCGCATTGAAACCATTTTGCGTGTGACAAGAAAAAAATGCGCTGCTGCTGGAAACAAAAAATGCGCTCGCCATTTTGACTCGAGCGACAACCAAATTTTCACTTGCTGCTATCAAAATAATCGCTCTGAAGTGTGCCACGGTGACGGCAATTACGCCCAAATATTAGAACATCTGTGAAGTGTTGTGCAAAGAATATTTAATACACGTGTTACAATTGTGCACCTAAAAAATACGGATTTCATCGCTGGCCGCGCCACACAAACACACATTCACTTGCATACACTCAGGCTCTCACATACACATACACGTTGCGGCTACTTGCTTCTGTTCTGCTTGTATTGATATCTTTTGGCGGCGTGTTGGTGAACGGTCCCCCCTGAAGAAGTGCAAGTAGAAGATAGTCGTTGCCGCAGGTAACCAGCGACAGCATTTCAGCAGTTAAAGGTGCTGGGCACCAAACAGCAGGAATACCGACGTCATTACACCTGTCTCTGCCTACAGCTGAAAATGGCGCATTCCTCGGCTGCTAATCAAACGAGCGGCGCGGTGAAGACGGATGAAGTCAACTATTTCTTTCAGGATGAGCACGGTAAGCATGGCTAAGCGGTTTAGTGGTTAAATAAATGATTGGTCTGTTGACCATTTGTTGGGTTTAATTTACAACTGCTCTCACTACATTATCCATTATAAGTTCACCATGTTAAAGCTTAATTTTGCTTTAATGAATGCGAAACATACAAATGTACATATGTTCTGACGTATTTGTACGCACACACACGCATACAATTGCAGAGTCTTGCGTATTCACAATAGTAGTAGCGGGGGAGCTACTACTAACTTGCATGCTCGCACACTGGCGCGTAAACGCCATCTTTTTCTTTTTCGGTTTCCTTTTACATACAATATTTATCGCTTAATACGCTTTAAGCGCATACACAACGCCGCACCGCGGCGCTGCAAGCCAACAGCAAGAGCAACAGCAACAACAACAACAACAACAAAAACAACTACTACTACTACTGCTACTACTACTACTATAACTGCACGGCAACACGTCAAAAAATAAAAAAAAAAAAACAAATAATAAAAAATAAAATCAAGTAAAAATCGGTTGGTTTTGTCTGCTGCTGCCAATATACATACACACACACAAATGTATGTGCAAGCTCACACATATATGTATGTCAAGCTGTATATGAATATACGTGTGCATGTGTTCATTGCCGGGCAGCAACGACAACCGCGCTTCGCCCAGTTGGCGCTCAGTCAAACACACACTCAAATACATTCTATACCCTATTCGCTGACAACAGCTACAAGATATACAAGATACTTCTTCGGTTTTTTTTTCAGCTCGAACAGCTGATGGCATCGCAGTAGCTGCCGGCAGCGCTGTCGGCGTCAAAGCTTCCTGCGGGAGTGTTTTTTTTTCTTTTTTAATTCCTTAACGTAATGAGGATTATAAATAAAAATAGGCAAATGGCGTATTTGTATGCGTGTTGCAGGTGAAACAATATTAATAAAACTGCGTGACATTCTGCTTTGTGTTACAAAAAGCTATCAACACAAATACGCTGTCACATACAAGTTGAACACTCACACATAAACAAACATCTACATATATGTAGATAGGAAAATAGTTAAAGCCCAAAATGGGCAAACACCAAACATGTGTAGTAGCGACTGCGCAGCGACGTCGCGGCGTTGACGCCGGCAGCAATAATTGTTGTTATTGCCGCTCTGTTGACCATCTTACGTACATCCCTAAGTGTGTGTGTGTGCGTGTGGGCGCGTGTATATGTGAGCGCATGTGCTGTTTGTATGAATGAGTGAGCAGCGTCGA